AAGCAATCCACTGGCCTTACTTTCAAAATATAATTTAAAAATAATTTGATGTGACTATTTGAGACAGCTACATGAGTACTCTGAGAACATTTCATTTTTCTAGTTGTTTCTTTGTTGTTATTGGGGGTATGTGAGAGAGGTTGACCAGAATGATCTGCATTTGTGTGTGCTGGGGGGTGGGGTAAGCAATACTGAAGTTTTATTGCTGAGTTATTCTTTACATAAGAAAATGCTACGTTCATGAGATCCATAATCTTTTGTAGCATATAGTATCTATTCAGTGGAAAAAGGAATATTTCAAAGGGAAATGTCTGATTTTCTAATGCCATTCTTATTACTACCAGGTTTGGCCATTTCAAGAACCTAAAAGATGATGAATTCTTTGCTTGTTGCCATTATTGTTATGCCTTTAAAAAAAGGCCGTGATTCAGACGTGGCCAGAATGATTATGAACCCAAGTTCTAAGTGGCGTCAGAGGCTGGATAAAGTCGGCCTTCTGCATCTCCCTCTCTGTCACTGGTGCCAATGACTGGATTAAGAAATCATTATGCTATTAGATTACCGGGCAAAGGTCAGAGAGTAAATGGTAATCCCAGCTCAGGATGGCATTAAGGATTCTTTCTCAGGCGAGGAAGAATGTGATGATAGGTCTATCTTCCTGAGACCCACCTGACCCCAGATGTGGCTGAGCTAATTATCTGACAGGCTGAAAGTGCAGTATGGGAAGCTACTAAATAAATGATGCTACCGAGAGAGTTTTTCTTTCCCCGGCCTGATGTTCCTTCTCTGTCTCTCCAAGTTCTGTTACGTACTATCTCTGTGCTCTTGGAAGACCCCTAACCTCTCTGAATTTCAGTTCCTCATCCACATCACTGAAGCCAATAAGACCTTATAGGGTTACCGTGTTGCATTAAACGACGTGATATCACTTATATGAAAGGGCTTATCACACAGCCTTATTTATAAAGGATAAATTCCTTCCCTTACTGAATCCATACACAGTGACTATGGGTGGCCATATAGAGAGACCAGAATAAACTGATATCATAAAGGACACCAACTTAAATTTAATCAGGTTCTCCTAGATGAATCAAGACATCACTGAAAAAAATCATGCTTATATTTTCTGCTTTCTCAGCTTTGTGACTAATATTGACAAGGTTCTACCATGTGTTTGCAAGTTTGCCTGAGTAATTGAGTATCAACAGAAAAAGTATCAACAATTAAGTTGAAAGAATAGTTTTAAACAGTAGGAAGACAAAGAGTTGATCGAGAGACAAGCAAAACATTATCAAGACGCAGGGCCCCTTTCCATTCCAAAGGAAAGCTCAGATAGGGAAGGTTCCAGACTGCAATGTGTGCGAGAACTGTTTTCACTCATCAGCTTACGACAAATCAGCAGTAAATACGTTGATTGAAAGATATTCTGGAGAAGGGATTTTTTGCTTTTTAATACCCAAACAACTATCGGGAATGTCAAATTCAAAAGGTCTGTTAGGAATGGAAAAGTCTAGGCCAGGTACAGAGAAAGGGAGAGGGCTTCTTTTAGAAATAATTCTGTAAGCCTACCTTTTGCCAACAGCCAGGCATGGGTAATCCATCTGGCCCCTGTTTTAAAGAGAAGGAAAAAAAAATTCCTCAGGTTCCACAAGAATGATAAAATTTCATAATTCACATGCTCAGAGACTTATAAATTTCTACTCATGAGGTAGCTTCAGTCCTAGGTATCTTTTACTAATTAGCAATTCCCAATATATTACTCACTGTTAGTTAAATGAAGAAAATTCAAATATTTTCCAGAGTGAGTACATGTTTTGAAAATACATAAAGTATAGAAAAAGCTATACCTAATTGTGTAAAAGCAATTTACAATGCATACTCATAGCTACACCTTTAGGTAATATATCTGTACTATATTTAATTTATTATACTATAATAATACTATATGAAATTACTACACTAATTAAATCACTATTTTAAATTCAGCATTCTGTTGAATTTACTTTAATGTCATTAAAACACATTTCACAATTATCTTTATTAAATAAACCAGAATAGCTTCTCTTCCTGGTCACTATGGACTATGGCCAAATGCATGATAATGATGAATAATCAGTTTTAAATCATTTCTATCTGAAGTTTATAGCTCTTCACATGGCAGCATTTTTCACTGTTCTCCGTTGAAAGAAACCATAGTAGCACATACTCACTTAATTGAAAGATAAGCAGCTTATCTATACTTTTATAGTAAAAGCAGCTTATCTATACTTTTATAGTAAAATGTTATTCATATCATTCATCATTTTTTCTATTTAGATTCTTTGGAAGTTAGTTAACAAATTCTGAATAAAATAAGGGATTCCTAAGTGTTACAAAATGTATTTTAATTGAAAGTATTAATATGAGCATTCTTCAGATACAAATGATATAAACAAGGCAGGAAGAGTTGGTATATTATGAAAGCATGCTTGTATTTTCCCCCAACAAAATGATTATAAAACAAGATTGGACATTAATATCAAGCAAACAAAATAAAGACTGGGCACTTCATGTTGGGATTTCTGACTGTAATGATTGAATAAAATGCTTTTTCTATAAATACAATCTCTTAAAAGACTTGAGAAATATAAATTTATCTTTAAAGAAGCATGCTTATAATTAAAGAATAATATAAGAACATGCAGACCAAGTATAACCATCGATACAACCATAAAAATTGTCCTTTATACCTTGGAAATTAAGAATATAGTTTTCTTTTCAAATGTAAAAAAAAACACTTTGAAATATCTTTGTAAAATATTTGGGAAAAAACTGGTAATGCCAGATTGGTACAAGGAGAAGGATCAACCAGTAGAATTTTAGATTTTAGTATAAGGAGGATTTGGAGTTCATGCCAATGGAGATGGGGAGTTCGTTTACTTTAGGAAAGTGAGTTTCAAAAGGAGAGACCATTAACTCGAAAAGGTTATGTGACGAAGAAAAGGGTTTGGGCTGCAGACTATTATCATCTTTCGAAGCTCAGAGAAGGGTGTTCTTCTTCCCTTTGGTCTCTTAGCAGCATTCCCTTGAATTGGTTAACTCTTGAACACAGAGGCTTAATTCTGGAAGTCTGGCTTTATTTACAGCCTGAGAGAAATTTAGTGGGAGAGGCAAAAATATCTTTATTTTTTTTAGAGAAAAAGAAGAAAAAAGTTAAACTAAGGGGTAAAACCAAAAGTTACGGCCTAGCAGTGCCTTTGAATCAAATATTTTTGCATAACTTTAAGGTAATCTTGGAATATTTGTTGAGTAAATTAACGTTCCAAAGAACACGGAAACGGTGGTCATGCCAGTTGTGAGAACGACGTCAGGAGGGGGGTTGCATTCGTGGGCAGAGACGCATGCTCGCTCTCCTCTGCAAGAGCCGCAGGGAGGCCGCTCATGCACATGCCTGCAGCGCCTTGTCATGGGAAGCTCGCTGCAGCCAGCAGCACGGTGCACCGACAGCGACGAGGGTGTCACAAGCAAAGGAGCTGCATGCAGGGCGGCAGGAAAGAGAAATACTGTACCAATTGGCATGGGGCATCCAGCCCATCCAGGCCAGGCTGGCCTGGCTCCCCTTTTTCCCCCTTAACGCCACGGAATCCCTGTTTGTGAAGATTAACTCATAACGTTACTAACAGAAGAAATCACTCAGGCACAATTCTGCTAACGACAGGACCACAGTAATAAAAGGACGGGAGAGGAGCAACCCTGAAGGGAGAAGTAACATCCAGTGAAGTTGGACCCAATCAAAGGGAGCTGGGCACGTTCTTGTGATCAGGGCTTGTCTGAAAACGGCGGCCCTCTCTTTTGTGGGCAGGGAGCGGTGCTCCAATCCTATATTGGGGATCCAGTTGACACCTGTGTGTCAGGAAACCAGGCAGAGCTAGCGGCCTGAGACAAGATGCAGAACACGTCAGGACAACCTGGGATAGATGTTTCTGGCATCTGGAAGTCTGTGTTACGTGGCCTCTGCTGTTACGGGTCCCTCCAGCTTGCTCTTCTCCCATGTCACCCCTCACACGTGACATCCCACGACAGTGCGCGCGGCAGACATACCAACGGGCAGGGCGCATCTAATCCAGGAGCACCCTGTTCTCCTTTCTCCCCTTTAGGCCCCTTTTTGCCTTTCTTTCCCTTTTCCCCCTGTGGATACAAGGGTTTAAATAAAAGACAGTTTTTATTGGGGGGGGGATAATAGTAATTCAAAAGATGGTTTAAGAAAATTCTGGAAGGGCATTTACCACTGTTTTCTGATGTAGGTAAGGCATGATCTCATACAAAACAACTTATACTTTCAGAGTGGCAATGGATTCTGGGCATCGGTGTATGGGATTTTATTCAGGACACTCGGCGAGATGGAAGAAGGAAACTTAAAAGCCGACGCATCAGAAGGGAAGGTCGGTGCTCACGTCGGGCACTATGTCATGGTCGTGTGAATCAGCTCCTGGGCCACAGACCGGGCGAGGATGACGGACACCAACTGTATCGAAGCCGGCCAGGGGCGGGCGACGTTCAGGGGAATAATGGATACTTCACCCAATTTTCAATACCTATCAACTGCTTTTTTTCTAATCCTGTAACGGATGAAAGCTACTTGGAACCAGAGGAAAAGGAAAGAATATTAACAGCTTCTATTTCTTTGAAATTTATCCGATTTTATGGTATTATGTTTTGTAGCTCTCACTAAAACATATTCAGTGTATTAAAATATGCTTCTATTTCTTTAGTTTCTCATTTAAAGAAACTAAAAGCAAATACTTTCCTTATTAAGTCAAGTAAACAAAAACTGAAAGTGCCAATACCTCACAGTAATGCCAATTGGAGAAACAGACATATTTATAAACCTAGAGATCTTCAATTCACTCTCTTATTGATCTCATGCCAGGTATTTACAATGGTAAATGAGTTTCCAGCTTTGCTCACAATAAAACAGAAGCCAAAAAGAAAAAAATCTGTTCAAGAGAGGAAAAGCGTTTTGGACTCAGTAAAAAATGAGGTAGGCAGGATAATTACATAGTGGGAATGTAGCCGTGGCAATTAGTATTTAGGAATCAAGGTAAAGGTTGTGGGAAATTCGTATGGATCACAGGGAAGGAGGAATTAAGGAAAGGAGGCAAAAGGAGGAGAAGGAAGGAATGCACCGCAGCTGTTTTAGGTTAACATAAATATCTCTGCATATTTATAGACGGGGAGTTGGTGCAGCACAGAATTCAAAATACTATACGATACGTATTTAAATCAGTGTGTTCATTCTGCCACCGGGAGGGGAATTACCATACAACTGAATAATCTCTGAAGCAAAGCGACATGAATATTCAAAGGTGAAAAGACATATATATATAACAGAAACATATGAGCTATGCATTCGAATTAATACGTTCATTCTGACAGTGTGAGCAAAAGCTCCTCATTTAAGTCCTGTGTGCCAAAAAGATTGCATCAGAAGGCTCAGAATCAAAAACACTTGGGTTCTTAAATACCAGGCAAAGGGAGAAATTCTGTGTGGTTTAGCTGATCATGATCAAAGAGCAGAACCCAAGAAGCCAGGGTCAAACTAGGGCAGGTGTGACCAGAAGTTAGCTGTGGGAGCGTCGGGAGTAAGCTGCTTTCTCGTGCAAGATGAATCGACATCTTCCTTAGCAAACAGCTTCCATGCCATGGCATAAAATTGATTTAAACTTGTTTGGGTGAGCTCTTTGCTCCCAGAAGGCAGTGGATTCTTCTTCACATTGTTTTATCTGAGACCATGTGTGCTGGAATTCAATTCATTATTTGATTGGTAAATCAACTCAGATTAACCATTCAATAGAAAAAGGTCATATGAATGTTACTAGGCCAGGCTATGGGAATCATTTTTCAGTAATATTTTAGTGAACCTCAAGCTTTATGGAAAAGAGGTACACTGTACAAAGAAAAAGGTACCAATATTATTAATCAACATTATTTTGTAATACATAGTCATTCCCCATGAAACACAAAACCATCTGTCATTGTATAAGTACGTGAGGGATCTTGCTAATTTTTGTTTCCCATGTCAAAGAATTATACAGCAACAGAGTGAGACCCTGTCCTCCCCTCCAAAAACAGAATTATATACACGAAGTTTTCACAGGTAGAATCTAATTTTTCTAAATATAAAACTTTCAATCATGAAAACTGAATATGAAAATATCTTTGTATGGGTGATTAACATTATTCTGAAGATCAAGTTTGTAGCTTTATGCTTTCATAAGCTATAATATTGGTGATTTCTCCCTTGTTTAAAAGATCATAAAAATGAGTATCCTCATAATGGTGACATACTTTTGAATGAATAAAATTTTAGACTCATATTACCCATTGGGTAAATATAAAATAATACCAATAATCTTTAAAACATACTCACCTTGGGCTGAAAGCTTACATGCACAATATATCTCAAAACATGCATATTTATAGTCAGAATTTATAACTGGGAGTAAAAGAGCTTTTCATGCTTCACTTTCCCCTGTAAAATGGGGAAAATAATAGCCCCAACTTTAGGGGGTTGTTATGAAGATTAAAAGACTTATTATATGTGAAACTCTTGGGAAAGCACACAAGTGCTCCGTAAATGTGATGATACTGATGATGATGACGGTGCTTTTAGATAACCACTCACTGGGCTCTCTTACCAATAGGGGGCCAAGTAACATTTAGGTCCTAAAACATACACAGCAGTCTTAATATTGTTCTTTTTTTTACAACTCTCATTTGGCCTTCCTTTTCAACAGCTATGAACTTCACTGTTTAAGAGAATTCAAAGAGTTTTAAGTTTTTAAGTAGAGCAGGGGCACAAATTCATCTGAGAAATATAACGGGTTTGAGCCAAGAAAGTGCAATTTTAGTCACTTTAAGATTTTCACTATTCCGTTGAGGTGCTGAGTTTTTTGGTGTCTTTTGCTGCGTCCAGTGTAAAAAATTCTGAGATCTACTGTTGAGTCAAAGACCCAAGTAAAGTACAGAGAAAGGAAAAGAGAGAAAAAGGGAAAAGAATGAAGGAGAGGAAAGGTTTTTAAATTTCTTGATCCAAACTTTTCTTTCAGTCCTAAAATCATATTGTCTGATATTGGTCCCTAAAGGCCCTAGAGCCGAAAGTCCTGAGATAGAACCTCAACACCAACCTCACAAAACACACCGATCTCTACATTACATAAACCTACAGCTGTCGCTCTGACTCTGAAAGTGGCAAGTCCGAGTCCTTGCATAATGGACTTCCTGTGGCTTATCAGTCACGCTGCTTCTCCTCCACGTGCAGATCAAAAATATCAAAGTCCACACACATTTCTCTCTACCGGGAAGCGTTGGAGATAAATGAGATGTTGGCTTTACAGGCTAGATGAGCTCTGCCAAAATACCACTGCAGATTTGTGCTAGTTAATATTACTTTAAAACATTTTTTCTCAAAATCCCTTACTTTTTAATAAATTGGTGTCAGGTGGTTGAAAAATTGTAGCGTGAATATCTGAAGATTATAATTTTTTTGAGACAGGGTCTCCCTCTGTTGCAGTGGTGCTTTCATAGCTCACTGTAACCCCGAATTCTGGGTTCAAGAGATTCTTCTGCCTCAGCCTCCTGAGTAGCTGGGACTACAGGTGCACACCATCAAGCCCAGCTAATTTTTAAATATTTTTGCAGAGATGGGGGCTTGCTATGTTGCCCAGGCTGGTCTCCAACTCCTGGCCTCAAGCGATCCTTCTGCCTCTGTCTCCCAAATTGCTGGAATTACAGGCATGAGCCACCACACCCAGCCTGAAGATTATGTAATTTTTTTCTTCTATGCTAGACAGTGCCCTTATTTCTAGTGAGGTAGCCTTCTTCGTTCCTCCTTAAAGACCTGATGCCTTAGATCAGGCATCAGTGTGTTGTGTTTTTGGCACACAGGATGGAGAAAGATCAGGTGTCCACACAGACTGAACGGCAGGCAGACAGCAGGGGAAGCATCAAACAAGGCACGTGCTAGAACGGAGAGGTCACCTTTTCTCCCTTTTCTCCCAGATCACCCTTCTCACCCCGTGGACCAGGGAAGCCCTGTAGGATAAAAAGCAAACCAAAAAGATCTATTGGTGTAACTGTGGCAAAATCATATTGAAAAAAATTATTAGATTTCAAGTTTCTGAACTCCAATCTAATAAAAAATAGCATGCCAAACAATCTTAAAATTTAGGTGAAGCAGTACTTAGAAATAATAGTTTTCTAATGTCTCAGTGATCTATACACAAGTTTCTTGCTTTTTCTTCTCAGAAATGTAGAGTGGAAAGAATACCAAGAAACTAGTTTGAATCCTGTCAAGTTCACTGATTTGGGTGGATCTGGGCAAATTACTTACCTCTCTGCTCTGTAGTCCCTAGACTGTAAGATGGAGTTAATGATATCTACCGGGCAGCTGTAGTGAATGTTGCCTGCACACAGCAGGTGCTCAATAAACAATAACTATTATTACTTTTGCTATTGTTATTATTCATATAATACAGGATGAGCAGTGATTGTTTCTAGAAACATTTAATTTTGACATTCTCTATTTTTATAGAGTTGTGTTAGCATAAATATATAGTAATGCTAAAAGGAAAAAATATTGAATAATTGCTTTGAGAAAAAACATACCATACCATTCCCTAAGGATAGCATGTGAGAGGTATATTAATTTTATGTACATATTTTTATAAGTAGGTCTTGCTGATGTTGAGGATCCTTAATTTGGGAAAGTATTTTGAAGTGCCACTGTCCACTATCAGGTATTAATTTTATGCCAGATAATTATGTTTTCTGCTTTTATGTTTATCTCATGCAAACACTAGTGTATTTTATATTGCTGCCTCCATGCACAGCAATATATGCTGTGTGCATAGCTATATGCACAAAAAAATAATTAGTATCTTTCTGTCACTGGTGACGGAGACCATCGCATCTATTGCAGTAGGAAGATGTTTACCGTACGTATATTACTTACATCAAGACCAGGCTCTCCATCTTTCCCCTGCCAAAGAACCACAGTAGCTACATTAGCGTTCCTAAGTTTCACGACTAGGCTATTGCTTCGCTTAAGGCTGCCCGGACATGCAACACTCATGCTAGAACAACTACTTCAGAAATGTGAAAAAGAGTATCGATCAGTAATACAAATTTCTTTAATTAAATCAAGTGTAGTGACTGTTAGTGTTGCAGTTAAGGGTCACGAAAAGTTTTTATTATATATTGGGTTAAACAGACTAATCTTTTGCTGAAGTTTAATATTTGGTATCCAAGTTATCAGTCCAGGAGTTAAGTTGAAAGCAAACATACAGTTTAGTTGATTTAAAATCACACCAGCGCGGATCGAGGATGTGAATCAATGCTGCTTTGGTTTGATAACTTCATAGTTAGCTCATAAATGAGTGAAAATGTGAAACTGTGTATTGTTAAATATAGTTTTAATTTGGCCAGATGTGCACCTTGTGTATAAATATTAAGGGTGTGAAGTTTGAAACTTAAAAACTGGTTTTAAGCGAGCTTTGTAAATGGCCGATCCCCAAGTATAACAGAAGTCAGGAGACTGTCGTGCGAACATGATAAACTCACCCCACGGGGCAGATTACGATGCTGGTGACCCTAGTGTGTCACACCAGGGATCCACCCAAGTTTCTGAGAGGCTACTTTGATTCTGGCAATTAGATTTTGAAACATATTTCAAGATCGGCATTCTTTTTTTTTTTTTTTTTTAGCACTGATGCAATCATGGTTTAAGTTTATTATTTCAGTTCATAAAAAGTTTGTGGAAGGTACAGGAAGGTTAACAACTTTGATATGCATGCTTCCACTGTAGTCCTACCCTGCTCTACTGAATCAATTATAATTATTCCCAAGATAAAGTTTTGAAGTACACCTTCCGTCTCAATTTGAATTCTGTGTAATTGAGAGTCTTCAGAAGATAGAACACCGCCATCATTCTATGTTCTGAAGATCATTTGTCATCACAGGAATTTGAGAAGTCAGAAACATCAAGTCATCATGAATTTCAATTTAATTTAAGAACTAATTTTTACTAGAAGAGTCCTTTTAGTAAATAGCCTGTGAGAACAGGTAGAGTCTGAAGAAGGTTGTTTGGAGTGAAGCTTCCACCCCCGTTTTTGGATACAGGGACCTTCCGAGACGGTGCCCGTTATGAGCGTCCAGTCAGATGGTGGAGGGAGGGTGTTATCTGACAGTCAGAATCCTGCTCTCAGGTCGGTACAGTTTGGTCCAGAGACTGTCTCTGGTCCCCTCGACCTTGTGCAGTGTGCGCGTGTGCATCTGTGCGTGACGAACGAGTGACAGGCTGAACCTGGACCACTTGGCGAGGACAGCACTGTCGGCAGTGTGGATAATTAGTGGCTTGTTCTCTGCTCCCCTAACGTGATTAGTCTGCCCCGCGTGGGGAGGGTTAGCCGTGTCAGTAACGGTCATCTGTGCATGCTGACGGTGGGGACTGTGCACGAGACCGCGAACTCACGGGCAGGCCGTAGGGCCCTCTGGGTCCGGGCTCTCCCGTAGCTCCTTTTTCACCCTAAAACGAAAAGTAGAAAGTTCAAATCATACACACATGCCAACGTTCACACACTTTCTCCTACGGCCCGTGTATGAAGCCTCCATTTGAAGGGCCGACCGTTCTATCAAAATCCCAAAGATTCCGGCTCTCGGAGGGTCCCCGACAGGAATGGGACGAACACAATCCACGGTCGCATCTTTCACCGAGTCCCCTTTGAAGGAAGGGCAGTCAGAGGCTGCGGCCGCCCGTCTGGGCAACGGCATCTGCACATCTCGGATGCTGCACTTGGGTTGCTTTGGAGTTTAGTGTGCAACGTTTATTTGTTACTCATTAGTTTAAGTTAGTACTTTTTTAAAAGTGTGAGAACAAGATGCTTTTCCCCTGGAACACTAATTAAAGATGGAAACACAAGAAAAGATGTTTTTTCCCCTATCAGGCATCTCTTCGTCAGACAAGCCCTCCCTTGCCGGCCCCCTCTCTTGCCGGCTGTTTCACTCCTCGGCCCTCGTGTAGCAGGGACCAGGAGCTTAGGACCTGTGGCTCGTCTGCCACCCGCACTAGAACAGCGCCAGGGCTCCGGGGCCTCTGGCCTGGCTCCCGACAGCATCCCCACGGCTTAGAGCAGTGTTTGACACTCCAGTAAATACTCGTCGAATGAATGAAACAGGTCTAATTAATACAACCACATACACGTTTTGCTTCCTTTTGAAAAAAGAGTTTTTAAAAAGGTATATGCCTTCCACTAAATGCTTGGTGAGGTAGGTACACGTTACCTTCCTCACCCTCTCTTCCAGTGCCTATTGAAGCAGAACGGCTTTGTCCAGCTGAAATGATGATCCTGAACTCTCATAAAGAATGTGTTATTGGCGGTAGTTTCATGAATAAAAATAATTATCATAACACTGAAGGAGATATTCTATGAATACGTTTCAAATCGTGTTTTCTTTGTCTGCCATCTCTGAATCAAAGTGTTTGTCAGTGTTCAGTATGCAAACTTCAGGAGTGATGGCGATGTTTATGAGTGGCCAAACAGAAACGTTATTTCCTTTTATCATACCCCTGAAGAAGTTTGAAGGTTAGCAAATCTTTTTTCACAGGTAAACATCAGGTTCAGCTGATGACGGCTGTCTGCAGAGCCACCTGACATGCCTGTGTTTCTTCATGCTCCAGATTCCCACGTGAGCCAATTTCAGGTCGCTGTTAACATTCTTATTTAAATGTAAGGGCTTGGTGGAGCTAATTAGCATGCTCACCGAGAGGCACACGCGGTACAGGTGAGATTACTGAAAATAGATATAATAAAAGCTTGTTGACTTTTCACTCATTATTACTTTGTGGTTATTTCTAAAGCAGCAGCAATTATACTCAGGAAAGTGGCCAGGCTTTAAATGAAACAGATTGAAATTTGAATTCCTGTGCTGGTACTTTCTGGCTGTGTGGCCTCCAGCAACTTTCTTAACCTTTCTGTGCCTGAGTTTCATTGGCTGTAAAATGAGAATGGTAATACATATTCTGCAGGAATTGTTCTGAAGATCGTATGTGATTGTAACACATGAAATGATATGCTGCAATCATATGTGCCATAAATATTAATAGTAGCTATCATTATAATACTATACATTAACAGAAGTCTTGTTTTTAATGAAAAAAGGGCTTGGCAACCTAATGAGTACTAATTCAAAATCAATTTCTTTCAGTTTGATTTGGCTGTGTTATTCATGATTTTTAAAACAGTAGGGTGAGTGAGTGTGTGTGTGTGTGTGTGTGTGTGTGTGTGTCTGTGTGTGGGTGGTGGGAGGTGGGGGTTAAAGGGAGCGTTCACATAAGCTGGAACAGGTCTAGTTTGAAATAACTCCACAGATTAGGGTAGGTCTAGTTGGAAAAATATCCACAGATTATTTCGAGATAACCACTCTTTTCCCCCTTGTCTGATTGAGAAATGTGGCTTTGTTTTGTTTTTAAAACAAATATACTGTGGCTTATTTGAATAAAGCTGTCACTAAAACATTTTGTCTGTGCAACTTCTAGACTAGCCCACCCCCAATCATTACTTTAAGCTAATAATGAGAATTCCTTTCCTCTTGCCAGTGACGGCTTTAGAAGTGGAAGATGCCCGGTTCTGGCAGGTGAAGCGTCGAGGGCCGTGGGCTGGGAAGCTCCGGGGAAGGTTTCCTCCTGCTAAGGAGAGACACAAGGGAGAGGCTGGCTCTCTGTTCCTGCTGACTCCGCCGCTCCCCGCCTGCTGCGGTCAGAAGACAAAGCCAGCGCACGGAAAGGCTACCGAAGCACAGCCTTGCGTCCTCCTTTGAATATTTTGATCTATGAAACAATGTCTTTCTTTATTGTTTAAGCCATTTTACGTTTGGGTTCTGTCACTTAGAGCCAAAAGTATCCTAATGGTTCCAGCCAGAATACTTTCAGGAATGAAATATTAATATTAACACAGGGATTTGAATGTGCAACTTCTTTTCTTGGATTAAGTAGTTCCAGAAGAATTTCTGAACCTCTCAAACATTACACTCTCTGTAGACTTTGAAGCCGTTCCAAGGCCAGATGAAGAAACCAGGTGAGGGCAGGGAGCACAGGTGCTTGGAGAGCTGAATAGTAATGCAGGTAGCCATGTATTTGACAATTCTTGAATAACGCTGCCGTCAAATGCATGGTTTCTTTTAGGCCGTTCTAGTTTCATTCCGGCTCTTTAATTTCCAAGTCTACACTGAACTATTATTCCAGAATGCCTCTTTTTGCTGATTCCTACTTCTTTAAACTTTGATACTTTTTCAAGAGGGTCCAGATGGCGCCTCAATCAATTGACTTTGAGAATCACACTCCAGTTCAGCACTTTGGGTGAGGGGCACTTGGAGAGCACAGACACATGATCCAGTTAAGAGAGTTAACATGCCGAGTAAATACAACTGTAGCACCTCACACTCCACACCATCTGACTTGAACTATGCCTTCAAAAATTCTTAGCGATTTCATTTGCTCTTCTGGTTAATTCTGCCCCAGCTCTGAGACCTGATACTCTTGTGACACTGCGGAGCTATCGGAAGTAGCAGCTGATTTACCAAACGGTAAACCCTCTTGAGCCCCAGGGCGTTTTGCCAAAAGACCGCCTGAGATTTGCTGCTCCAATTTTAGTACATGGGCTGAATTTCTTCGTACAATGCTTGAGAACGAATCTGCACCAGCAGCGTCGAGGCTCTTAGCTTTTAAATATTTTTAATTAAGATGATCTTCAGAAGTTGTTGGTTTGATCTTAGAAATCAGACAATTGCAGATGCAAACTATGTAATCCTTTAGAATTCATCTGTTTATAGAAGTCTTCACCACTACATGCACAGCCTGTATTATTTGTATTTACTTTGGCCTCATTCTCTGGTTATTTCTTGCATACATTTTTTTTCTCTGCAATTGGATTATAAACTCCTATAGGTCAGGGAAAGTATCTGCTTCCTTTGCAGCACTGAGTATGTATTTTTAAGTATTAATAAAAGGCCAGGGGATGAATAATTGATTACAACGGTATTATCCAACGCACCGAGCAAATCAGCAGCACAGGCTTTGCCTAGGAGGGAGGAGAGTGTTTCCAGTTCACACTAGAAGTAATACCGTGCTTTGCACATGGTAGCATTTGAGATATATTTACTGCAGGAATGAATTCACTTTAGAGAACACAGAATTATGGAAATGGAAGGCACGTCAAAGAAACCACTACAGGCCCTCTTTCTTTAAAGCGAATTATCTTCGACTGATGAAAATCTATCCAGTTTTAAAAAGACCATAAACTTGCCCAGTGAATCATTTCAACATTTTGAAGCCCTTACTATTAAAATGCTTTTGTTACATCCTATCCTGTATGGCAGGGAAGTTGATGACACAATTCCACTCAGACACACACGAACACTTCCGCGTTTTCCAAGGTGAGGAAAAGAAAAAGGAGGAGGAAAACAGAGCGAGAGGGAGGAGAGGTCCGGAGAGATGAGCAGCTGCTGATACTGCAGCACATTTTTTTGTGTCAGATATTTATCTTCCCTTCTGAATGTCTTTTTTTTTTTCCCAAGGATATGGAAACATGGCCTAGTATTAGAGAGGTTAGTGAAAGGTTTTTGTTTTATAATGAACTGAGATTATTTCCTTATGGTTAAAGAAAAACAGCTATTCTTTAGCTTTTAAAAAAAAGGAAGCATGTGTAACTGTGAGGAGAATACTAAGGTTTTGTAATTTCCTTTGGAAAAAAGTTGTAACTTTGAATGAATACAGTAGCTTTATATATAAAAGATTATCAACCAGAATATATAGTCCCGGAAATTTTAACCCCGTTGACTTCAACTTTCTGGATGAAGGCCAAATGAAAATATCTTCCTTATGGGTTAAGGAAGAATAATCTGAACTATTTATTTTAGCTATGTAAACGTACGCATTGTTTTTATTAAAGCAGCCATATTCTATTTTATACTCTGTGGTTTTCTTCTCTCAATGTTAGGATTCTGAATAGAACTAAAGATGATACCTGTTTTCACTTAATATCAGATAGCCCTTTATTTCTCCTGGAAAGTGGACAGTTCAAGTTCAACTGACATGGAAAAGCCATGCTCTGGGTTTTCTTTGCTACACAGCTTAGTAACTTCAGCAGCAACTTACTCTTTCTCCTTTGGGACCTGCAGGGCCATGGGGTCCCATGGGACCATCTGTGCCCTAAGAAAAAATAAAAATAAGATAATGTGAGACATAACACAAGGGTTGCAAGAATCGCAGCTATAATTTGTCCTGGACTTTCCTGGGTGCATGATAGCCTAGAACGTCAGAAAGACAACTCGTCTCCTTTCAAAGTGCTTTACACTCGAGTCTTTCAGGCCAGCGGTTTCCAGGAAACTCACGCAAAAAGGATGAATTATGTAACTGCATATTTCAGTGAAAGGTACACACAAAAAGCTGTCTATCATATTTAGTTATATGCTTACTTCTTGACCAAGTAAAACATCTTCACTTTGCCCCCATAATCTTAAGAAGACAAATGTCATTGTTTTTCTCTCCTGTCACCTCTTCCTCAAGCCCTGTCTGCACACCCTCTGCCAGTTGTGCCCAGCCATGCTCTGAAGTCTTGCTTTCAGCTATTTAAGAGGCTTAAACAGTTACATACGTGGAAAAAAATTATTAAATCAATGAGAACAGAGTTTAACTGTTCAAACCAAACTTTCTGCAGCTCCCTTGGGAGCGGCGGGGGCCTACCGGGCGGGATTGATTCTTACAGGTTCTGCTGCAGTGGCTGAGGTCACACACCAGGCAGCCGGGACGATTTAATGGCATAATTGCCTTCTGGCCTCCTGGTTAGTTCACGATTAGGATTTCTGTGGGAGAGGAGGTAACGTTTGAAGGAATATAGGAGCACTGAGGTCTAGTGACAATAAAGACCGCCCGAAGCAGGTTTTTTAGAATTGAAAAGCTGGGAATTTCTTTTAGATTCTTGAAAAAGTAGCAAGGACTTCAAGTATATTTGCTCATTTTCAGGAAGACTATGATTAGATACTCAAAGAATTGATTATCATATTTGCAAATGCAGGAACTATTCCAGCATATTTGGGTATAGTATTCCCATTTCCATTCTACTATTATGGTTTCTTCTGTTAGAGCCTCGTGATGGAAAAGAATTCAGAGTTTCAGATTCATTCTAATGTTGGTGAATTCTCATCACCTCGACTGATCTTTTTCTTACTGCCTGAACTCAAAGTTCACCTGCAGAAGGCTTTTCAAATACTGAGTATCTGTGGCTGAAATTTAAGAGATGGAGCCGTTAAGAACCAAAGAAAAATGACAGGAGACAGACAAGTCATTTCTATGAACAGAGATCTGAAAGCCAGTTCCAAGGAAAAAGTTACATTTCTAGGATGGAGATAAACCTAAAAGGAAAAGCAAGTTAAAATAAAGTCACATTATTTTACTCTCTTCAGAGGGCCTCTCCCGCAGCATCATGGGGAATGTCTACCGGTTGTGGAAAAATCTGTCCGGAATTTTGAGACAATGAAGCTAATTAAACCGGCCATTATCCTAGCAGATTATCTAGACTTGCACGCGGGCTTCGGAGAGATGCTCTGGCCGCGTAGGCTGCGCTTCAGACAGAGCCGCAGCCCGTCCCCGGTCCACCTTCCCCTTTCACTCCAGCCCTAAGTCCCCCATCATCATGTGATGAGAGGACACGGAGCAAAGGGGTCTGTCCGGGATTCACAGCCACAAAACACGTCAGAGCACGACGAGGGACTGAACTCACCCGGGATCCTGGCTTTCCGTCTAAGCCAGATGCTCCCTGTGTGATTTGGTTGGTAGCAGGGTTGGTGGGTGTGACACGAATGACAAGAACAGAGATTAGTATGAGGTACCGGTGAACAAATGTAACACTTCAAGCAACATAATAGGCAGTCACAGGGTTCTGGGATGAATATCACATCGCTACAAATTGTTAGTGTTTTTTAAAAAAACAAACCACATGACAATAAACACCCCACAGATGATGGTATTTTAATGACATTTCTAGGTGACAAAGTCTTATTTAGAAATCAAGTTAATGAAATTTATAAAGTGGGCTGCAAAGTGGTTACTGGTAACAGTCGGACGCTCCTAATTTCCACAGGAAACTCGTTTTCTAAAGACTGTACTACTCAGAATATATTTCTTTAGGTTCTGAAGAAAAAATAATGGCAATCTCCTAAGCAAGGGCTCATTATAATAACCAACCAAATTTAGTACTTCAGAGGAGGAAAACGGAGCTCTGGTTACACGTGTTAAAATAATATTTATGTTCATCTTGAAGCATTTTTTCTGGAAAAAGAAATTTAAAAATAGTATTTATGGATAACAAACGCAGGGTTTTAACATGCCAGGATGACCCTCGGTGGGTTTTACATGAACAGTACTTGTTTTCTGGGTTGCTCCTACGTTCACATTAATTGCCACTAGAGGGACTTCTAGGAACAGGAAAAAGCCAGACAAAAATCATGAGACCAAGCAAAAGATAACTCCCAAACTAAATCGTTCCTAATTCCTTCAAATAATCCTCACATCAAAGCCTGAATGGGAAATGACTTAAAAATCTAATGTTGTTTTCGGGCAATGCATGCTTTCCTTTGAACTCTAGGCTACACATAAATAGTGTGTGATTTTAAAAGGGCATTTCCAATACTTGTTTCAAGAATAAGCACAATTATTTCTTTGATATGTTTTTTGTATCTCGAGGCCCAAATATTTATTTATAGTCCTTTAAAAACATTGATTAGATCAAGGAGTAGTTAAAAAAAGACAATGCACTGGCCCTAAAAATTCTCTTGGCAAGCTTGCAGAACTGTATATCCCAATTTTATGCTTCAGATGTAGTCAATAACACAAAATGGAAGGAAAAATCTATTCCAGCTGCAAACTCTACCAATAATGCTATACTATAAACATTTTGGGTATTTTTAGTTTTTTATTTTAAAATTCCTTCTGTATAATCCTGTTATGATCCATACCATAACAGCAAAATACATCTTTAGTTAGCAATGATTACCATGGAAATGTGTATTGTTGTTTGGTTAATGCTAGCATAGGTAGATCTCTTAGCTAAATGCTGCATAAAAATTATCAATAGCCCTAAATTTGAAATTAGGACAACCTTTAAATAAATCAGACTGAAAGTTAAAATGAAATAGAAAATCCAAACCTTCTTTTGCCTTTTGGTACTTTCTTCAGTCACCATTATTATAATATTTGAAAATAAATGGGGAAATGGTAAAAATTTTCTACCAATAATATTATATCTACCTAGAATGCTGAATTAATGACTCACATATGTTATAGATACTCTATGCTTGTGGTGCATTGATCTAACTGATGTGATTTAATCTATATTCTAATATGAGTCTTATGTCAGTCATTCAGTGAATAAATACATATTTAACATCTATTCTGTGCCTGAGCATTTGCCATCAAGGGGAAATGCCTTAATACTTATGGTACAGTACCCATGGGAAAAATGAAATAAATGATCATCAAGTTTTTGTTTCCTCCTACATCTCAGATATGTGTATAAACTATTTACTACTAGAGACTTTATGTCATATTTTACCAATGTAATCCGTAATTTTCTTTATTGACTTTTATCTGCATTCACTGAATAGACAGCATATTAAAAGCTTGAAATTAAAGCCTCATATTCAATAATAATCTTTAAAAATCTCTTTTTAGTTCTCGTGGAAAGAAGGCTGGCATAAAATGCATGAAGGAGAGGACATCTCTTTTTCATTAAAAATAAAAATAAACAACTGCAAAATACTTCTTCCATACTATCCACTATTGCCACAAGAACCTCATGACAGGGAGTTTTCAAAACAAACAACATAGAACATGTAGAACACGGTATGATTGATTGATGTAAGAGCCAGCACTGGCCTGCGCCATCAACAATGGCCAACTGCATACCTGCCACCGACAGAGGGCTACGGTTTCTGGCATATAAGGAGACAAAACAACTGAGGGAGGATTTTAAGCTGCACTAAATTATAAAAAGCTTTGGGGAGAAATTATGAAATAATGAGCACAATACTTTCTAAAGAGGAGGATGATGGGATAAGCATTATTAGCCCTAAAAGAGGAAGGTTGGCATGTATGTAATTGGAGAATGACGGAACATCGACAGCATTGTTTGTTATGGGGTCTTCCTCTGACATACGAGCAGACATCAGAGAAAACAAAACTGGGCTGAGCTCTGCTCTAACATAACGTTTTCTAATTGCGGAAATCTCAACAATAAGATAGCTGCTGGTAAACCAGAGTTGTTACTGAGGGTAGAAAGAAAAATCTGAGATTTGCACTGAAATGGAAAGTTTTCTTTACTTACTGGAAGACCAAGGGGTCCTCTGTCACCCTTGTGACCTGGTTCACCCTTCAATCCTTTAACACCATTTAACCCTGGTTCACCCTAAATGCAAAAGCAAATGCCAATTTTGGTTGCTATCATGGGCGTTTAACTATGAGAGAAGAGAGCCAGTCTCTGAAATAATTGCAGATTCCAGTTTTAGGTAACAGCAGAGTCAGGCTAATTTGTCTTGCATCAGCTCGAAAAGTAATTTAAAAAATTTAAAAAGTTCATAAACTGAAATTGACAATTAAATAATATTCTAGAAGGCAAAACTCCCAAGAAAGTGTGCTCCTTACAATCAAAATACGAATGACTGAATTCCTGAATCTTTGAGTTCTATCTCAAGGAAATTAGTATTATATTACATTGTTATGATCAAGCAAATTAAAGACAATCAGAGTGAAGGATGCTGAAAGAGGTTCAGTAGGAAAAACCCACTCTGCTGGAATGGAAAACTGGAATATGCAGGACAGTGTTATAGACAGATATTTTAAGCCTTTAAGCATTTTGCCCAAGGGAATGAGCTAAAAATGTAGCAGCTGATGTTTGAAGTAATGCCATTTAGCAAGTCCTCCTTCACTGACATTGCCAAGTCAGGTCCCTACATGGATTAATCAAGAGTCGACAACAAATCACCAATCCCAGAAGACAATATGAAGATCAAAGAACTCAAATGTAGTTTTGCTAACTGACTGTCTGCCCAATGTTAGAATAAAGGAGGTATGGATTTAACTCTGGGTGACATTACAAAAGCCATGGTAAATGATAAATTCTCTTGACTCTGTTTTTTAAAAATCAAAAAATGCAGTACACCTATTTTCCATCAGTATCAGCATGTCGGAGAGAGAGAAAGTTCTGACCTGTACACTTTTTAGGTACAGACATTAATTTGTCAAGAAAATCTTGAAGGACTTGAGAAAAGAGGATGGATTCAGACCCAGATGCCCTACAGAGAGTCTTGCTGAGTGGGGACGGGAGAGGGAGGAGGTCATGGGCAGAAGGCAGAAGGGATTTTTAACCTGGGCACTATTTACTCAGTTTGCCTGACAGTGAAGACCAGTGTGGTGCTCGTGAAACGGGAAGGGTCCAGACGCCACCCAGTCCATAGTAGCACAGTAATGGGTTTCTTTCCTGTATTTCTGTATTTGTTTATTTTTGAGACAGAGTCTCACTCTGTTGTCTGGGCTAGAGTGCAGTGGCATCATCATAGCTTACGACAACTTCAAATTTTTGAGCTTAAGCAATCCTCCTGCCTCAGGCTCCCGAGTAGCTGGGACCACAGAGGCACTTGCCACCATGCCTGGCTAATTTCTTTATTTTTTGTAGAGACAAGGCCTTGCTATATTGCCCAGGCTGGTCTCGAATTCCTGGCCTTAAGGAACCCTCTTGCCTCAGTCCCCCAAAGTGCTAGGATTACAGGTGTGAGCCACTTCATCTGGCCTTGAGTAGCTTTAATAAGCCTCCCAGGTGATTCCTCTCAAGAGGAAATTCCGGGAAGCACTGAGCTAGATTCATCCATGGAATCACACTAAATATTTGAACTTTCAAAGGGGTCACAAAGTAAGGAACACATTGGCACAACATAGCAAATTTTCAGGAGTTTGAAGACAGGATATTCACAACGCACCCACTATAGCAAATCCACAGGTGCTGCTGTCGGGAAGGTGTGACCGCGGGAATGCCGCAGAGCCAGAGTCAACATGACACTAAGGCCAAGGCTCAATAGTGGACTTCGGTTCACTGGTCTACACTTGAGACCCACGGCTCTGCACGTGTGTGCGTGTTCAGCAAGTGGTCTTGAGAGGATGGACAGCAGGGAAGCCTTGATAGGCTATGAGATTCTTTGGTGGGGAAATAGGAGTTGATAGAAGTGGGCATTAATTGAGAAGGTCAGTTTAAAAACAGTTCAATCTAGGAACAAAAAGACCAAATTTCAAGACTGGACCTAAATTCTCATCCTAGATTTGTCATTAACTAGTTGTGAATTTTGGGGCAAACAGCCTAAACTTTCTGGACCTATAGTTTATCATTTATAAAATCAAGTTTGTCATCTAGCATAGGTAATCTACGAGGTTCTTTTCAACTTTATAATTCTCTGAAATCTTCGACTTAAGTAACAAATGAAGTTATGTGGACAAAATAAATCATTGCATTTTAGATAATCAGAAGGATCTTGAACATCTCCTAACCCTATGGTGATGGGATTTCTGAATGACTCGTGCAATTAAACTTAGTCTCGGTGGCTTTGCCCCTAGTCATTATGATTAGGCCGGTCTTTGGTGGCATTTTAAAACCCAAGGAGAAGGTAGGAGTGGGAAGCACTCCCTGGCCTTATCAGAAGGTAAGGTATTCCAGGAGAATAAAGAGCCATGAACTCCTCCCATTCCTGGGAAAAGGAAACTCGGATTCCCTGAGTCAGGCCAGTACCCGCTGCCCCCACAAGAACTGGGTGGGCCAGAAGGAACCAACCCCCAGAGGAGAGGCTGGGCCTCTGGGTTTTCGGTGCCTGGTGCCAACATGGCATTCATGTCTCCCCATCCCCTACCTTGTTAACGTCCCAGCTTACTACGGAGGCACTTGTGGGAGTCCTCACACCTTCTTTCAAGCAACCCTGAGGACAAGCTATAGAATGTTTCTGTGCAGAGCAAAGCATCAAATAGCAGCAATAACATCTGCCTTTTATTGGCATTTATCAGCAACGATGCCAGGTATTTGCTAAGTGTTTTAAAATCATACCTCATTAACTGATCTATGAGGCAAGTCACCCAGCTGAGCAGACGAAGGATGAGAGAGGGTCAGTAAGCTGCCCAAAGCTGAGATTAGAGCATGGTCCTCACCACATGTGCTCCCTGGAAGGAGGAGGAGTTTGCCTTTCGGGCTCACTTTAATCCCCAGGATGTGCTCTCAGTCTACACAAAGGCAAAGAACAGGTGGCAGCCAGCTTCATAGTGCGGGCTGCACTAGTTCCAACGGAGGGGCTATTCTCCATTGTTCTTTTTTTAACCCAAAGAGTGTAGAATACATGTAAGTAGTGTGACCTTCTCCCCAGTGCAGCACATGGTGCACCCCGCCCCATTCTAGACCAGTGACTTCTGGGGAAGTGCAAAATTAGACACTGGATAGTCACGGTATTCAGGTGCAGGGCCGCTATATGGCAAGCAAGCAGTATCAATGAGTGACATCCAAACATACAACTAGAGACACCAGAAAAAGAAAAAGTATCTGGACTAGTCTGATAATCTCATCAGATCCACTCTTACATGGCTGACTTGACTATATTATGTTTAGCAATTTAAGAAGCTTACATAGTGATGAGGAAAAAGGCAAAATGAGGAATAATTTTTCTCCAGGTGATATCACTTAAATTTGTTGTAAGTCATTGTGTGTTATGAGATTTAAACATCTGGATGCTTAAAGGCTTAAAGATTATCAACATTACTTGACAAATAAATAGGACAGACATGCTTCCGTCATGCTTCTCCATGATTATCAAGGAAATAGAAATCAAATAATCAAGGGATTTGCTGGATTACCTTTGGTCCAGGAAGTCCGTGGGGTCCCTGAAAATGGAAAACAGAGCTTTTAATTAAGAATTGATTCACTGTTTCCCAGCGGAAGTGAATATTATATCAAGTAACAAAAGAGATGTAAAACAAGAATCTTCTTGTTTGAGCTATAGCTAGAGGCAGGCTAGTGGATGTTATTTATTACCTACCAAAAGTTCCTTCCAGCTCTTGGATTACTCTGCAATAGGAAATTCGTTAGTAGCAATTCTGTCTGCTCTACACCTCTGCAAGGGAGGGAGAAATCTGCCAGTGGTGTATGGAAGAAGAAAATGGAAAAAGAAGTATTTTGAAATGATGTATTTTTCTCAAATTTCCATTTTTTAAAAAATCTAGATGGAGTATGTGAGATGCTCCATGAGTTTAAATGGAATAGAGATAAGATGTCAAAGACAGAAATTTGCCAAAGAGAAGTCCCAGACTTTAAGTACCAGGGAAGAGACCTTTTCCATTAACTCCTCCAGACTCAAGGTGTTGAAGAATCTAAAGTAGACAGGAATACTCTGGTTTCCCTTCAGATTGCATAAATCTTTTGCTTTTTAAAGAGATGGGAAGTGAGGAACTGACAGCCAATTTTGAGATCCTGTAGCATCATTTACTCAATTTACTCAATTTTTTTAAAAAAAGATTCTAATACAGGAAGGCTAAGCATTATTATTTTGATTGCATTTAATTTTACAAAAACAAATTCTTCAAGAGTCTTATAATAATTATTTACCAGTGGAAGAAAGTGACAATGCACACATGAATCAGGATAGGAAAAAGCCAGGCATTTTGTAGAAAATCTAAATATAGAGACTAATTAGCCAACTTAAATTAACTAAAGCTGTGTATTGCTTTCAACTTTTTAAGTGATTTAAATAAAGTATTTGTAGAGAAGATTATTTAAATGTCCATCAGTGAAATCACACAACAGCAGGAAAAAGTTTTTGTCAAGCAGTGCCTGGATATTTGTTATGCACATCTACATTAGAATAATATTTTTCCTTTAGATAAGTTGTGGATAAACTTTTTCAGGAAATGGCTATTATTTTATCAGGTATTTTTATTTCATTTTAATAATGGATTAAAATTCCTTTCAACTAATTCATTTTATAATAAGAACAGGATGTAGCATTTTGTGATTTAACCTTCTAACTTCAAGTAGAGGAAGTATTTAAAAAAAGCCAAAAGTATGCCATTTGCTTAATTCTTAATGAACCATTTGGTTTTAGGAAAATAAGGTCAATTATAATGGTTTGTGTTATGAAATAGAAATACCAGTTAGGAGGAAGTGGGTGATTGTCTACCTACCCTTTGTGGCTTAGGCCATTCCAATGATGCTCTTTCTTAGAGCATAATGGGAGGAGTGACCACGATTCACTTAATCTGCATTATTGAAGTCTTTTCATTTACTGAGACACCTTAGAGATACATGTGACCTTACAGCCTGCTTCACTTGCCCCTATTCTGCACCAGTCAAGTGTTCTGACCTTAACACAGGCGTCAGCGGTTCAACATTCAGAGCATTATTTAATATTGGACGAGACATAGCCGTGCTGCCCAGGCTGGGCAGTGGAGCGATCATGGGACACTGCGGCCTTGAACTCCTGGGCTCACGCAATCCTCTAGCCCCAGCCTCCTGAGCAGCCGAGACTACAGGTGTGTGCCTCTGCACCCGGCTAAGCTTCAATTTTTGTCACACTATTTTACAAATGTGTTTTTTTTAAATGAACACATAATAACTATACATATTTTGGAGGGTACAGTGTGATATTTCAATACATACACACATAAATATTCATATCGAACATTTCATTAAAGCATCTCACAACTCAAAGTTTGCTAGAAACATTCTTTCATGGCTACCATTATTAATCTTATTCTGCCACTCACAGACTAGAGTAGTGGCTGGTGAAAACGATTCGCCAGTGTTCATACCATGAGGTTGGGGGACAGCTCGCCAGCCCTGCCTGTCTTGCCTCAACTCTCCTACCACAGCCCCGCTCTCTCTCTTCCCGACATCTGTGTTTGGGCGAGTGAAGCGCAACACTGGGAAGTCGGCATCTCTCTAAGCACCTCGTCTCTTCTGCGCCTTCCACAGAGAGCAGCACCAAACACAAGCTGGCTGCTCGGGAGGCGGCGTTCGTGTTTTCTCCGGTAGCGTGCTCATAAACAAACAATCACGTTTTGGAGAGAAGGGAAACTCACCATGGGGCCGGGTGGGCCGTGGGGACCTGGTGGGCCTGGGGGGCCTATGATCTGTATGTCCAAAAAATAAACATGGATTTGGTTACTTCACTGAGATAAGGCAGTGCAGCTTGAATCTTGCGCAGGGCTTCTGCTAAGGCCGTTAGTGGTTGCAGAGGAAGGATATTGGAATAAGTGATGTGCCTGATTCTCTAGATTTAGAAATTCCTTCATGAGAACAAAAAACTTCAAAAAAAAAAAATACAGTTGTTCTACAAAAGCCAGAACAAATCGAGAGCATGTTTGAAAGAAAAGGAAGCAACTGATTACCAAGAAATGCTATAATGCCACGACCACTATTAAACTTTCAGATAGTTCACTAAGCATGAACAGGGCTCTAGAGAAAATAAAAAGTATGTTCTATATTCACAAAGCCCTACCCACAGTGTTGTGGGAAAACCAGTGATTTTCTCCTCAGCATTAGACAGTCCTCTGCAAACTGGCTTCTACCTCAGACCTCTGAGACACTTTGTCTCTCACTGTGTGAGGCCAACAGGTATTTTTCTACAGTTTGGCACACAAAGAGGTTCGAGATCTTTCTACGACTGCTAAGCCTTCTGGAGGAGGTGGAACTGGCGAAGGACAGGTCAGAGTTTCCGGAAGTTCGGCCACAGGGACTTACGGAAGGACCCTGAGGGCCCGGCATTCCGGAGTCTCCTTTTTCTCCTTTCATTCCGTTGGCTCCCTGCAAACAACCATTACGCAGAGTTAAGCAGGTAGAGTTATCTTCAAGAGACAACTGAATTTTCTCCAAAACCCATCATTCTCTTGCAGTTTTATAATACTATGTACATGGTGTATAAAAGAAAGATTTATCTCTTTGCATTCTAGCCTAAAACAGTAACCTTACTAAAAACCCTAGGATTGCACGGGATATGTAAAATAAAATATAAAGTAAATAACAACTAGGTTGGGCTTGATTGGCTAAACTTATACGGTGTTAAATATATTAGGTTATAAACATGGTATCTTTTGTGGTGATGCTCATTTTAAATAGCAAAGGCAAGTCTTTTAACTTCGTTTTTACTGACATTTATATACTTCCTTGCTTAAAAAAAGATACAAGGCAATGAAGTTTACTACTTTTTTTTTTTTTTTTTTTTTACAATTTCTACATTTTCCTCTCCAAATTCTCAGTAAAAATTATGGGGGAAAACCATAAAAACACCATCCCATAGTATTATGCACACAAAGAGAGCACTTTTCAGAGTAATTTGTTTTTTAATTGTTTTATATATTTTTGGCTTTATTTCTTTTTTTTTATTTCAGCATATTATGGGGGTACAGATGTTTAGGTTACGTATGTTGCCCTTGCCCCCCCACCCCAAGTCCGAGTTTCAAATATGTCCATCCTTCGGGTGGTGCGCATTGCACTCTTTGTGTGTGCATATACCCGTCCCCTTTATTTCTTTATTATGGTTTATTTTATAATAATGAGTTACCACTATCCTATGCATACTAAATTAAAGTGGCCAACCATATTAATCTTACTATCTTCTAGTGAAAATAATTCAGGAATACATGAAAGTTTACTTTATAATTTATTTGGTTACATGCTTTAAAATTTTAGTCCCCCAGTTGGAGTAATTAATAATAATGACCTCAAATATTTCAAAATAAAAAAATATTAGATGAACCACTAGATGAGATTGTAGCTAATAATATAACTCTTCTTCTGATGGTTTAATTTATCTTAATAGGAACATATAAAAAGTATAAACATACCGGTAATCCAGGAAGTCCAATTCCTCCTTTTTCACCTGGCGTACCTGGGTCCCCCGTGTCTCCCTTTGAGCCTTTGAGTCCCTGCAAATGACAGGGTTTGCATGTAAGAAGCATAGTGACCCTGATAGTTACAACCTAGGGGAAATAGAATTCCAGATCAATTTTGTCAACAGGTTGGTCCTACACTGAGATAATTCTTTTTTTAGGTAGAGTTCATTTTTAGGTAGAGTTCTTTCCTTCTTCTTCTTTTTTTTTTTTTTTTTTTTGACACAGAGTCTTACTCTGTCACCCGGGCTAGAGTGCCATGATGTCAGCCTAGCTCATAGCAACCTTGAACTCCTGGGCTCAAGTGATCCTTCTGCCTCAGCCTCCCGAGTAGCTGGGACTACAGGCATGTGCCACTGTGCCCGGCTAATTTTTTCTATTTTTAGTAGAGATGGAGTCTCACTCTTGCTCAGGCTGATCTCAAACTCCTGAGCTCAAGAGATCCTCCTACCTTGGCCTCCCAGAGTGCTAGGATTACAGGTGTAAGCCACCACCCCCAGCCGATTTTTAGGTAGAGTTATTTCTTATTGCCACCTTCAACATGCAATCAATACCATTTCCCCTGGTAATGGGATTAAGTTCTATTAAGCCATTTAAATATGAAAAGTGTAAACTTAGATTTTGATGTCATTTCTCCTGATTTCATACTTTTGGCTAGCAACTAATTTTATCTCATCTCTCCCTGAAAACTTAATAGATTTAATTCTCAACAGTATGTTATACATTTTAAATGAGGTCCCAGTGCTATAACAACAAAGGTCCAAACAGATTTCTCCCATCTCCAGCCACTGTAGGTCCCCCTCAACTGCAGGCAGAAGTTCCGTCACCGTCAGTGCTCAGTGGTCCAGTCTACAGATGGGTAAATCATTTACTGCCCACTACTGCTCAACGGATGCTTAAAAATACTTCAGTTTTTTCAGCGTTCTTATTTTGTTCTCATGACATCTCTATGAGGTGAGCCAGAATGTTATTTTTATTCTCCTTTTATAGTGAGGAAATAGATAAATGTGTCTTTTGAGTGTTAACAAATCTGAATTTTATAAGACTAACACCTAAATTAATTTATATTGTTAAGCATTTTCATCCTAGCGACCTTACTGCAGTATGGCCAGTGGCCTGTTCTTCAGCAGAGATGATCATAGTTATTATGATAAGGGGCCCTCGGGCTGCACGAACCTGTCCATATTTTCTATATTAAAAATGACTCAGGAGAAGGATTGAGTCCTTTCCTGTTAATTATACTTATTTCATAGCACCTATTTCAGAATCACTCACTGGGTGGGTGCCTGAATGAACGGGTGGAATCACACCGTCGTTAGGTTTAGGAGTCTAGTGACGGGGAGCAGCAGCCTGGTCAGCCCACTGGACTGAGCGGCAGAAGGAGAGCTTGTAAAGCCTATGGAAAAATTCAGCTCTTGTATGCGCAGCAGCCATGTAGTATGGCCTTATGCAGGTCAAATCAATGACATAGACCAACAGTGAAAAAGGTAATATAGCCGGATTTTAAAATTCTAAGTGATCTCTGATGTAGAAAACCATCTGAAGTATCTTTCTTTTTTATCATATTTATTTGATGTGACATGTGATTTCAATATACGGCTCTAATATTAAAAATAATTCTCCTAAACTTAATATTCTTATCTAATACTTTCTCCTGAGGAATATATGTTCACTAACTGTATGAGGAATCCCCTTAATTTCTTATGATTTCCTTGATTTTAGCTGTTTCTTGGGTAAGTGATGGAAACCCAGAAAACACTACAGAGCTCGAAACTAACCCTGGTGATTCCATTCTGTGTTCTGAACACGGCCCAGGTTCTCCTGGCCATATTCTTTTAGGGCAAGGGTTAAACCACGGCTCATGGGCCAAACCCAGCCCAGGGATTGCTTTTGCACAGGCTGAATGTTTTTAAAAATTTTAAAGGGATATTAAAAAAAGAATTTGAGATAGACACTGTCCATGGCCTGCAAAGCCTAAAACATTTGCCACCTGGCCCTTTATTAAAGTTTGCCAACCTCTGTTTCAGGTCAAACCCTTGGAGAAACAGCCAAACTCTGCAAAGCCACAAGTGCCTCACCTGTTTCTACCTTTTCTAAGGATCTAGGAAATTAGGTATAATCTTTATTTGGGAAAAGAAAACATTGTCAAAATAACACATACAAGCAATATCTAATTTTGTGGAAACTATAGTCATTCATTTTAATCCTGAATTATCTGTATTTACTGACAAAAATTAGGCTATTCTTATTAAATTGGTAATGATCTTGTAAGTCTATTAAAAATTTGAAGAGGAGTCACGGATAGTTTGGCAGGGAGCATTAAGAATAAAACTAAAGCATCCTAAAGCTTGAATGATTCTGCAAACAAAACAAATGCTTAATTTAAAACCAACTCCTTTTTAGAGTTAATGTAACTTCTAGAACAGATGGTGGGGAAAAAAGAGAGGATATCCTATATCAACACTCATGACTTTTGGGCTTTGAGCCTAATAAAAGTAGTGATCCATAATGATGCTTTAAATATGGTACATATCTTTAAAAATTACCTGCTCGCCATCAACTCCTGGCATTCCTGGAGATCCTTGCTCTCCCTGTTAAGATAAAAAGTGATGGCTTGTCTCCATTTATCATTTTATTACACTAAATAAAAAATGATGCTAGTTGGCTAACAGTACAATTTGACTTTCAGCAGACGCATGGTAACTCAAGGACACTCTACTATAGCACATATCTAAACTAAGTGAAATAATAATCTTCCTTGAGGATTATGTATAATACTCATATTTAGCTTAGATGCAGCGTTTTCACTTTCTTCTCCATGAGAGATGCAGCTGAAAAATATGGTAAAGAACTGGCAGAGATAATTTGACGGCTGACCACATCCTATAGCAACAGCCTATATGCCTCAGTTAATTTTTTTCTCCATCTGAATGGTTTCTCGCATTTTCCAATTTCAGAAAAAAGAAAAACATAACAGTTAACCCAAGAAAAAACAAAACGCAGAGCCTCATGAATTTACAAGAATATTTTAATTGGCACAGTTTGAACAGTAGATACAAATTCATGATTGTGAGTGTGCTATTTCCAGAAATGCCTCATTAAAGGATATAATAAATCAGATAACATCTTAATCCACATGAAATTACTTTTGGATTAATTCAGTTTCCTATACTGTGCTGGGAAGGAGCTAAAATTTACTATTCCTATTATTATTTATTAGAATTTTTGACAAACTCAAAATACACAAATGTATTTTTTTAAACTGAAGATGTTCCTTAAAAACAAATTTATATTATACAATATGCCTGAGATTTAGTCAAATAACAAATGCTTAGTCACCTTTCAGTTTTGAAAGGTACTGAACAAATTCCTTGACAGGTGTGACATTATTTTGTATCAACGAGTCGCTCCTGTGGCTCCCATTACAAGCATCCCTGATTCTCACACTGTGGAAACTCGGTAAAAACAGCTCTTCTGAGTGTCCGGGGACTGCCCCACAGACTGATTTCCAGCGGACCTGACTTGGGGCTGTGTTTTCTAGAAAGGCTTGTTTGGTGATGCTATAAACCACGACACTGAAATGGGTGCGCTCCTCGCCCTGGTAAAAACTTTAAGAGCTGTGGGCTGCAGCGTGAAATCTGAGCTTTCCCATGTTTAAGGGAGGCATGATCTTGTGGTTCTAAGTAAATGAAATAAAAAAGTGGGGGAAAGGGTCTTTTCTTATTTCAGATTTCCTGTTCTCTGTGGTAGCAGGAAAGTTTACTTTGCCACAAACAAGTCTGCTGAGGTTGGATGCACCTGGCCAAGCCCTCGTTTCATTCAGAGTCTGAATACTTGTCAGCACTGTGGGTCCAATAAGGATCGTTTTGCTAAGCTTTTCCCTTTAAAATGTGACTCACAAGTGTTTAAAAGAAAAGCATAATTCATGAGCTATTCATTTTTCCTTCACCCCTCAAATGTGGTTTGCAAGCATTACCTGATGTCTAAGAAATCAAACAATTCTTGTTTGACAAAGGAAGGAGACATGCTAAGGGAGTAAGTTCCTGTGCAATCTGAGACCGAGTCCTGGGATTGGAATGAGTTTTATACTGGACTCGGGCAACATTTTGCTGTCTCTTGGTGGTAGCCACATCCCACCCCGATTATCCCAACCTTCTAAAGGAGAGATCGTGGAAAGCATAGAGGGCTATCTCTGCTAACACAAGATCTCAATTACAAGACCGTCGTGGGGTGGGCGTGGGAGGGATAGTGGAAAGGATGCCAAGGGTAGGAGGAGAGGGAGAATGGCCAACCCCCTCCTCCACACCACTTGCGAGATACTCATCGGCCAACTTCTCCCCACCTTTCAGTTTCAACTCAAAGCCTTCTTGACTCCCAAGACTTAGAGGAGACTTCCCGTGCACACACACAGTGCATGTGCTACTCAAAACACTTACTCTGTTTGCCAATAACCGTGCCTTTACTTCCTTATCTCCCTCGCTAGACTGTGAGCTCCTTGCTGAAACCTCTTACTAGTACCCTTACCAGTTACTAGTCCTTCTCTCAGAGGAGAGGCTAACAATTACTTACTGAATAACTGAATTAACAAATGAATAGAAATTGGTTTATAAAGCCAGGGGGATGTAGGTTTTAGTAATACAGACTTTGGCGTGAAGTGGTCCTTTTTCCTCTTTGAGTCAAGGGATAGGTACCTTTTGGGCTTCTGTAGGTTTTTGGGCCACAGATAGAGGAAAGTTCTAGAAGCTTTTGAGGTTTGTGAGAAATGAGGAATGTATTTAACTTTGGGAACGACTTTGGTTTTGGAGACTTAGTTAAGTGAGGAGATGAAGCAAGGAACTTAGACCTTGGTTGACTCTACACAAAGGACAAAGGAACCTGCAGATACCCTTCTAGGTTGTCCAGGCCAGTTCATGAAGATATTAAAAAACAGAGATCCAGGCAGCCGTGCTTACCAGGAATAAAGACTGTGTGTGACTGGAACACTTTTTTTTTTTTTTTTTGAGACAAAGTCTCACTGTGCTGCCCGGGCTAGAGTGCCGTGGCGTCATCCTAGCTCACAGCAACCTCAAACTCCTGGGCTCAGGCGATCCTCCTGCCTCAGCCTCCCGAGTAGCTGGGACTACAGGCATGCGCCACCATGCCCGGCTAATTTTTTTCTATATATTTTTAGTTGTCCAATTAATTTCTTTCTATTTTTAGTAGAGACGGGGTCTCGCTCTTGCTCAGGCTGGTCTCGAACTCCTGAGCTCAAACGATCCGCCCGCCTCGGCCTCCCAGAGAGCTAGGATTATAGGTGTGAGCCACTGTGCCCGGCCGACTGGAACATTTGTTGTGTAGCATCTCTTAGGTAGACCAGAATGTGATGGAGAAAGACACATAAGAATCCTACACCTGACATTAATGTTATACATGAAATCTGTTTGAAATTGGGATCTATGTTCTAAATATTAACATATCTCACATAGGCAAGGACCTCAGTAATAGTTTACTTTATATTCCTTTATATAATAGAAAAATAAATTTTTCTATGTACTAGGTTTCTGTTTTTAAGTATCAAGAAAGACAAGAGTACAAAAGCTGATATGTGCGCATGTGTGTTATGATAGACTTAGCAAATAAACTGCTTTAAGAAGCACAAACAAAAGATGAATTTCGAAACCACTTGACTCTTCTACAAGAATCCAATGACGAAGGCCATATTTCAACACGTGTAGCTCAGTTCTGAAAAGCCAGAATTACTGGCCATGTGTTAATTGATCAAACGTTGCTGAATGACTAAGCTTTAGTTTGGAGGCATAAAGCTAACAGAATAAAAAATTTAGATAGACTCAAGTAATGCTAGGTTTCTGCTGTTTGTAGTTAATTTGTTTCATTAGAGAAGATTAAAATGGCAGAATGTCTGAATATATGTAATAAAGGAATGTGTCCAAAAAAAGACTCAAAAATGATTCCTAAAACTGTCATTTCTGAATGCATCATGCTAAAGCTTCCGTTGTTCTTTTTATTACAAAATAATTGGAAGGATCATTCTCAGTGTCAAAGTAAATTTCCTTCAATCCTCCTCAATTTAAATATTTTCTTTTTTTCATATAGCACATTTAATATTTTTTCACATTTATAAGTTCTATGGAACTTGTTTTTCTTTTGTTTAATATTCTGTTTTTCTCAATGTCCTCCCCTAAATTTAATTTCTCTCCCTTCTTTTCTACTTTTCCTTTCTTCTTTACTAATTTTCCCTCCTCCTTCAGTCTAAACCTCAATTCTTTTTCTTCACTCTCTGAAGCAATATTGCTGATCCCAGCTTCTCTAGCATTTTGTAACATTGATTTTCAAGAACACACATGCTTAACATGGGTTTCTCTGTACTGTATATGGTAAACGGAAGCAAGTAAATAAAGAATAACCTTTGGCCCTTGTAGTCCTTGAGGTCCGGGAGGTCCAGGGGGACCCTAAATCAAGAAAAGGTACAACTTTAAAAAGTAGCAAGTACATGTATTAAAACTCATGCTTTAAATAATAAGCAAGCATATTACACACTTCTCTTATTTCTATCAAAATAAGATATCTCCCAATATTGATTTGTAATAGGGACAAATTTCACTGGTTATATAATTATAAAAACTACCTATGTATATACTAAAATATCAACACATCTTAGGTCAAAATAATGGTGAAGATGCTTTTGGGTTGATTCTGTAGACGATGTACAATTGCTGCTGAGCCCCAAATTCACCTTCTCGGGATGAATTAGCTTACGAATATTACCTGTGTTTCTAGAAACACTCCTTGCCCCTCCACCCCAGGGCTTTGATTTCCCAAGCTCTAAAGAACAAAGCTATATCATTAAGATAAGGCCAAAGACTTTAAAGAAAATTAACAATAACTTTGTTGCATGACTTTTTCACTAAATAGACAAAGTGACTCAACAGGGGCAAAAGTTGTAAAAGGTTATTAACACAAAAACACACCAAATTAAATATCAGATAAAAGCAATTGCTACATTAGTACCATTTTGACTGGCATGCATCAACACCAAACACAAGATCACAAACCACAGAAACCATGCAATAGGAGTTACCGTGACAGTTAAGGTGGTAATCCTCTGTTGAGAAAATGTATTGACAAAGACAGAGTTATCTATTTGTGTGCCAAAGTACAACAACACATTTCTGAAACAATCAACTTTTTGAATATGTTTTGGCTAGTCTGATGGCTTACGAAGAACTCACAAGACACCAAGAACATATTATCCTATCTTCAACACAGTACGGTTGTAAAGATTTTTTTAAAAAAAATAGTTTTAGAATCTTATTTTTAAAAGTCTATGGTTGAAGAAAATAAAATGTCAAAATTTTAATTCACCTGATTAAAAAAATTATATAGTAAAGTAATGCCCATTAGAGGTTTGTCAGAATAGTTGTGAACTGAGAAATTTTGCCATTGATAAAAGCTCTAGTCTAGAGAGCACTTCGTTTAGAGAAAATGGAAATATTCAACTGCATATTTTTTCTCTTTTAATCTATAGCTCATTTGTGGCATTAAAATTGACATTTTTGTGTGTATATTTTCCATGACTAAGGATATTAGTTGATATACAATTAATCCAGTTTCTTAAAGTGCTAGAGAAATATAACAAAATATACTCTCTCAAAGTATGAATCTCTAAACATGATCCGTAATCCATGAGTTATATTTTTGTATTACTATTTTCTAGTCTAGGTCCTCTGCCAAAATTTCTGTAAGGCCTATAACCACTTTATGAAATCATAGAGGGGAGAACACTTTCCATAAGGGGCTCTGGTCATAGAGAAACATTATCTGATTACACGTAAACTTGTGGGTAATGGTTTAACACTATCCTTTTGTTTTCCACTCCATTCCAATTACTCAAGCTGTTGTTATTGTTTTTATTACTGTTATAAAAAATAATCTTACCATTATCTCACTTCAAATGATTCTCTCGTGACATGGTGTCATCATTCTTTAGAAAACAGTATATCATATTTATGCATGTATACAAATGGTTAAAGTTTGTATTTTATGATCAAATAAACAGTCATGGTCATTATAGCTTCAGAGAAACATAGTAGGAAAAAAAAACCAGTGCTTCTAAGATAAAAAGCAAAATGGCCACAAACTGAGGACGAGGTTATATATACATAAAAAAAAGGGCCCAGAATTTTATACCATGAGATCTGTATAACGTAAGGTATCGTTTACTTCATTCTTAAGGGATTAACCTAGAGCAAGAGTTGGATTCATAGTTATGAGAAAGCTACTCTTTCACTCTTATAGTGTAGATGAGTCATTTAAATAGGGCTCTTAGAAAATTATAAAGTAGAAATAATTTTTTTATCATTGCCTCCCAATTACATATTACTTTTTAACTAGAAAGCAGAATCATAAAACCTTAGAAAGGAAAGGGAGTTTAAAATTTGAACTCTCTGAAATTTTTCCAACATGTGCCATATATGAATTCATTTTTTCACTTGAACACAAATTAGTTTGACTTTTTTAAAATTTGAGGATAATGACATGTTTTATAATGAGCTGCATAATAAAAGAATATTATTAATGGTAACTGAACTAACAGATGGGGTTTAAATGATTTTGTTGAATAACTATGCTTGTAAGACCTGAAAATTGTGTAGTGTTCCATCTAAACGACAGCAAGCTAAGCTAACTTCACAAACACACCGTTTTGATCACCATCTGGAAGCGTCTGAGTGCAGACACACAGAGCAGCCCTAAAGATATCCGCTCACTCTGGATTTCTTGTGTGTGGCTCCCCTAAGTTAAAGCTGCATAAACTCAGCAGGGTTCCCTCTTGAACTCCAGCATTGGTTTGAAAACCATGATTTTTAGTAGTGATGGAGAAAGACATGCCATTCTCTAGTGAGACGTGATGTGAAATGAGAGGCACGAACTGTAAATTGGGTAAAGACTATTTATTCCCTGAGATGCTTATAATGACTCTCTTTAGAATTAAAGGTTCTTTCATTTCTTATAATGATGCAAACTTAAAATCACCCATGATTTACACAAAGCACAGGTTAAGTTTAGATGGTGATGAGAATTTTTAAAAGCTTGAGTTAGGAAACAGAGGTTTTACTGCTAATTATGGAAATTGAATCACCTTAAATAAAAACAAATAGCTTATGGCAATGTTTATGTAAAAAACAATTTTCAATAGAGGCAATAGTAAAATTTTATATTTCCCAAATGGTATGATTATAACTGTAATATACTCCTATTTATCTAATTTATCCTACATTTTCTTTTTGGCAGATTGTTTTAAAGGAGGCAATAATGAACTGAAATCTACAAAATTGTAAATATATATCCATCACTGGTTGGAGAATTAGAAAAATGAATGTCTACCACCTCTTCTCAATCTAACTTAATTGGTTTTATTAGGGACTCTTAATCTACTAGAGCACTATGTTAGGAAAACGAATAAATAGTTTTGAATTGAAAAAAATAACTATAAAATATATATAAGCACAACATATAGTTGTCCTAACAACCCCATGAGAAAAATAAATTTTTAGGTAGGGACATGAGCATGAACTAGCTGACTATGATGGACACTGACTGCTGTATAGTCATACAGAAGTCAAGGTGAGAAAAAGAAACTGAGAGTATATATCTTTTCATATCAAGACGTAGGTGTCACATTTTTAAAAAAGTATAGCGCTTTTAAGCACATCAATAAGAAGTATTTAGAAGTTCCTAAAAATAACCCTGAGAATAATATTAGATTTCATGGACTCATAGAAAAATCTATTCCAATAGCATATTCATTTTGCAGATAAGATCAATGAAGTATAGATATAGTAAGTGACTTTCCCAAAAGGACTCAGCTAGTTAGTAGCTGGGAGACTGAAAGAGAGATTTCCATTTTAGGCTAAAATAGCTTGCCTCATGCCAGACTCTGTGCATGCAAAGAATGCTTTAAAAACTCATTCACGATTTTGCAGAAAATGGCCAATAACATTGGAGAAGTTCTTGGAAGACAAAAGAATAGATACCTCTCAAAGGTGGTAGCAACAATTATGGTCCCATTGGAAGTAGTTTAATGGAAATTTACAACATTGCTAATAAATTGTTTTAAAAAAGGGTCCATATATTTCATAAGCAAGAACTTTGAAAACATAGTAGGCACACCAAAACTTTGTGTTCTCTGTCTCTGTCTCTCTTTCTGTATGTAGTTATCAACCCATGGGAAAAAGTTATCAACCCAATTTAGAAAACTGGTTCTAAAACGTGACAATAAGCCAGAGGCTGCTGTGTATGTCCAATCTACTTACACTGAGGAACATAACTTAAGCTGTTGACCAGACAAATATACTGTTCAAGCAACGTTTCTCCAAGCAGTAAACATGCTTCTCTTCACATTTTCCCAGATGATAAAGAATAAAGAATGAAAAGACCAGAAAAATAGGCTGAGTTGAACACAGATTTTGTAAAAACTATTTAATAAATGCTAATTAAAGATGGTAGTTGTAGCAAAGGACCCATAGAAGTATAGATCTTTCATAATTAGATGAGGTCAGTGAAATCATGAGGATGAAAAAAATGATTCAACCAGGTACAAAATTGTAGAGAAATATTTAAGACCAGTAATTTGGTTCTCAAACAGAAAAATGGCTGTGCATATGAATTAAACAAACTTGTTCAATCAATAACTGTTTAATATTTACAGGCCCAGACAATATAAGCAGAACACATGTTTTCTGCCACCAAGAAACTTACAATCTGGTAAGAGGCAAGACTAAAATCAAGTATGGACGTTAAACTACCATACCCTGACTACTAATGTTTGAAGGATTAAGAGGAAGAACTCGCTTGGGTGGCAACTGTGGATTGTAGGGTTAGGATTTAGATGGGAAAGAGAGGGAAAAAGAATGGGATGAACCCAGGTGAAAAGGTTTGTGTGGATATGATAAAAATGGTCCCACCAGGGGAAACCCTGTGCTGCAGAGAAATGAAAAATTGAGCATAGGAAGGGTGAGATTATAGAGACTTTAAGATGCAGAAGTTTGAGCTTGGTCCAGTAGGCAATAGGGGGTCATTTAGATTTCTGAGCAAACTGGAGCCATCAAAGCAGTGATAGTTTATTAAAATAAACCTGGGAGTGATACGCAAGATGGATGAGAAGGGCGGGGAGGCACCACGGGAGGAGGAGTTGGTCAGGGGTTGTTGCCATGTCAGGCATGAAGTGGACTCGATGTGGACCTAGTGGAAAGGAAGAATAGGCGGCCTCAAGAGACACTTTGGAAAGGAAGTAGGAGCGCCTGGTGAGATGGAATAAAGAAAGAATTAAGAATAGTTTTTAAGTGGCTCTCAAGTTTCTATCCCTCCAGATTCAAAGATTCATGGCATCTCTAACAGAAAGTAGTTCGTTAAGAAAGGAAATCATTCGGTAGTGGGAAAGGTAATCAGTGTAATTGTGTGTATTGGTGGAAGTCGGTAAGGAAATGGAGCTGCCATAGTAGAAACACGCCTAGACAGACGAAGGCAGACACAGATGGAAGAACTGGGCGCTATAGCATGGAAGCACTCAGAGGGAGTGAACGAACCAAGAAAAGATGACAGACTTGAGGATCCCAAAAATCAGGGGATGGACAGAGAAACTGGAAATACCAAAATGGAGTGGATCCATCAGAGGAGAAATGAAATGAAAGTTGATGGTAGAGAGACCGAAAAAAAAGAAAAAGAAAAAAGAGTGGTTTGGTGTAAATGTCACAGAGAAGCAAGGGTGATAAGCACAATGGACTTGACATAGAGGCACAGAGGTCACCGTTGACCTTTGTAAGAGAAGTTGTGACAGAATGATGATGGTGATGGAGACTAGAACGTAGGAGTCTACACCAAAGAATGAATCAGAAGCAGAGGTGGTGGAGACGAGCCACATGGTCTAGTCTTTACTTAATGGGAAGGAAAGAGTCAAAGGGAAGTGACGATAAGAAATCCTTAGAGAGGGCTCGCTACGTGTCCAGCGCTGTTTGAAGTGTCTAATATGTATTTAGCCCTTTCCTCCTCTCAAGAGCCCCATGAGGCAGACACCGACTGCTATTAATACTGTCCTCGTTTTATAAACAGGAAAACTGAGGCACAGAGAAGTGAAGTGACTTAGTCACACATTTGGTGAGCGGGAAAGCTGAGATTTGAACCCGAGCAGCTGCAGCTCCAGGGCCACAGAGCTCCTGCTTGCTTTGCCGGGCTCCCTGTGCAAGCAAGGAGGCAAAGCTGGCCGAACTGTCACAAGAGTCACACCCGATATGGCTTAAGTGTCTCTGCAGGTGGAAGGGAAAGAAAAGAAGGGGTTGAAAAATGCCAGAAAATGAAGAAGATAAACTGGGCAGAAAGAAGGGCATGGGGTCAGGAAAACAGGGAGAGCAGTGGAGCCCCTGAGATCAGGGGTGTGGAGGCCCATCAGTGTCACCGTCTGCGTGCCGGGGCGGGGCGCAGGGACTTGCCTGTAAGGCTTCGTGGAGGTTGCCGTTGTAGTCTATGATCTCGGTGGCTCCTTGATCCCCCTTTTGACCAGGTGGACCCTGCAACAAAAGCCACCATGGCAAAGTCATGGGACTTACAGTAGCATAGAGAGTGGACGTGCCAGACACAGAAATAGCAGCTTGCAGCTCCCTTGACATTACTTCCCTACTAAGGCCCGACTGTGCTTTAGAATAAATAAATAACTGTGTTCCGATTTTGTCCTTATGTCAAAGGAGGCAAACCACTTCTAACTTCCTGTCTCTGGTAGGTTAAAGATATGAAATCTGATTTTAAGAAAGATATAATTTTTTTTTTTTTAAAGAGACAGGGTCTCGCTATGTTGCCCAGGCTAGTTTTGAACTCCTGGGCTCAAGCAATCCTATCTCGGCCTCCCAAAGTGCCGAGATTACAGGCATGAGCCTCCAAGCCCAGCCAAGATATGATTTAATCTTTGAAACTGTTTTCTGAAAATTCTAAAATATAGGCTAATCTCATGTAACTGGCAAAATTTTATTGGCTTTATACATATTTATTAAAGTAACACCTCTTTTTACTCATCCATACCTCAATAGATTGCTTCCTAATTCTTTAAAAAGATAGAACATTGTTCTGTAGAAATACTTAGCTTTCTCAACAGAAATGTCATGAAAATTAAATCAAATAGCAAAAAGGAGAGTATATATCTCTTTAAGAAGTCTACCCTCATTAGATCTGCTACTTAATTTCTATTAGTCATGTCCTAATTCCCTGCCTTTTTTTTTTAAAAAAAGGCTCTGAACACATGGGTTATTGCTTTCTCTATAACTGGGTTCACTGAACAATGGAAAATTCTATGAGCGGATGGCGATGGGCTTGCCATTGCTCATTTAACAGAGGGGAAGTAGGCAGGAAGAGTTCTTTAGACTTTCTTCTCAAGGAAGCTTATTGTGTGTGCTAGAATCCCCACACTCACTGTTCCTGGTGACTAAAATAACAATAACGAGGTGAGGGACAGCAGGAATAATTACAGTCTACCGCCGGTGCTATTTCTGGGTGCAATTATCCAGATGTCCTGTGAGAAGCCGCACAGACACCACTTCAGACCTGGCTTGTGGGGCGCAGAGTGTGAAGAGAGGCTCACTCACCCTTGGTCCCAGAGCTCCAGAGTCCCCTTTGTCTCCACGGTCACCCTTTTCCCAAAGAAAAGAGAAAAAACTCAATTAGTGGTGGTGCCAACAGTCTAGACATCTCCCAGGTCTAAGGATGTATTTGTACCTTACAGCAGCACTTTTAACAAGAACTTCTGAAGTGGAAAACAACAACAATATCCACCACCAAAATGGCAAATGCTTTTTTAAGATGCAGCTTGAAGGGAATTAAAGTCCCTTTTTCAGATAATAGAGGATCTTGGAACAAAAATATATAGTAACTCTCACTAGGTGGGATCTGCGAACGCAAAGCAAGCGGTTTCCATGGCACCCAAAGTAAGCTTTTACCTTTCAGATCGAGGCATGTTCTTCCTGTTATTTGAAGCGATTTGGGGCAAAGGGACAAAGAGCCAAGCTATTGTGCTGTCTGTTCTCTGAGAAAGAAACTATAGATAATTGGGACAGGGGAGGGACGGGGAGCTCATTCTAGGGAGAATTGGGAAAGAAGGGTCATGGGCCCGGCCTCCCTCTGATGATGGGCATTTAAGGAAAGGTCGTTCTGCAGGGATGCAGGCATTTCAACTCGCACGGTGCTGAAGTGGACAGCAGCCGGCGGAACTGGCTGGCAGGGCTGAAGGTCATGGCCACAGCAAACCCAGCCCTCTTTCTCTCTTTTTTTTTTTCCCCTAATGCAATATGAAAATATCTGAAGTTTTATTTATGGTGTCATTACCTCACCTGTAGTGACAGTAGGAATAGTCTAAGCCCTCGAAATTCTCAAAAGTGTAAACTGACAGTTTGGGGAGGAGATTTGAACCTGTGCAGATTTAAAGGTTCTTTCCAACAGCCTTAAATGTATAGAGGCCTTTTCCTATATGGACTTTGAAGCATTTTTATATGTCTTTCTACATAAACTGGGAAAGGACCAATGAAGACTAGCAGGAAAAAGGATTATAATTTTTCCCATCCACATTATGCTAATAACATTGAGTATAACAATTAAATTTCCTATGAATAGAGCATTCATAATCTCTGCTCTCTGTTTTCTTCATTTGGCACCCATTTTTCCACATTACTAGCTAATAGCATTTTATTAGCTAATAGCATTTTATGATTCTGCTGACAGTAATACGCTATTGCAGATAGTATAAAGAACGTGATAAAGGGAAGAATTTGAATTGGTGGCAAAATTTTAATGCACTGTAGGGAGTCTACTAACCTAAAAGCAAAGCATAATTTGAACATTTATCACAAAGATAGCTAGGGGGTGAAAAATAAGATTATATAATATATAATTTAAATTAAGTAAAGTTCTTATTTTTTTTTCCAAAGAAGCTATTCTTATAAAACAGGAAATACAGCTTCTCTTAAAGCATAGTTTGAAGCACAAGTATACACGAGAAGAAGCAAGATGAAACAAACCAATTGTCTGGGGCTATCACGGGGATGAAACTATTGCGATCCCAGTGTGCAAAAGAGTTTAATCTAAAACACGATTCTCTGGGGAAAAGGCAAACAGCACAGACCTTGAAGGCCTCACGTTACATTAAGATGGTTACCAGGTTACTGACCTTTGACCCCTTTGGGCCTCTAGCTCCTGATTCACCTTGTTTCCCCTATTGTAGGAGAACATGAAGATGAAAAAGAGAAAATGACGGAGGAGATAAGAACAGAAAAGAGAAATTAGCAGTGACTCAGATCAATGAAGAAAATGGAAACACTTTATTTTAACTGCCTCAGTATATGGCTCTATGTAATGTTGGTTATTATAACATACACATGAGTGTCCTCACCATAACTTTAGTTCATTCTCTGGTCTCCCCACCAACCTTCATTCCATTATCATTCTGAAGGCTTCCTTCCCATCAGCGGATGGGAAGAGCTCTGTGAATAATTCTCATTAGGCTCAACAGTGTTTGCATAAATTTCCTTTTCATCAGAGAGTAAATCGTTTCCTCTGTCTCCAAGATGGGTTATTAAAATAAAGTGTGACCACATTAGTTTGCAGGAAGTTTAGATGAACAAAGGTTGAACAGTCAAATACATCCGTAGCTCTAATATTTTCAAGGTGTTACACTCTGTCCGGTTACCATAGAAACGAATGCAGCATTTATCGACAGATTTTCTCAGTAAGTTTTAATACATGCTGAGTGATAACGTGCTAATACAATAGCACTTCTCCCTTTACGTTTGGATGTGCTATTAAATTTGCTCACCAAACAGAGTGGATTAAACAGAGTAAGCTGAATTTTAAAATCTCTTTTGCAAAGAACGAACTGGTGTGCGTTTCAATAAACTGTGATTTGGACTATTTTTATACTTGTTGAGAAATTTAATTTTAGTTTTCCATGTTCTAAAGCAAGTGGTGCACATTTCCAAATCAAAGACTGTTATTTTCCAAGGTAAGAATAACTGACCTTTGGTCCAGGGGCTCCAGGCTCCCCTCGCTCACCTCTCCCAGGAGGCCCTGCCTCCCCACGTTCTCCCTGTCACAAATTGCAAAACAGGTAAGTGGCAGGCCCCCCAGGCTGGTCCTTGTAGATTAATAAATGAGTTGAATGAAATCAAAGAAAGCAGAGACTTACTTTGTATTTACCAACTACCCAGAACTGTATTCACCTCTTAACATGAATTTACCTCATTTAATAATCAAAACAATTCCTGATCTGTAAACAATAATGACTTTTCCATTTTGACATTGAACTCATGTGAAGGTAGGCAATTCCAATGACAATGAACTTCAAAATATTGTTAATAAAATGAATTTCCTACCCATGTCCCTTCTTGTGGAAATACGAAACAGGTATGGTACATTCCTTACTTTTATCGGGGTTCAGAGCAGTTATCTGTTATAAAGGTAAAATCACGCCAGGGTCTTCATAACAGTAATTAATGTTGACTTTACGGTTCTACATCTGGATCTTTTTTTGAAACTGCAGAATAGTTTAAAATCAGTTAACTAAAGAAAAGATATTTTGGGATGAACTCCACTCTCTACTGCCTGTGTTTCTTCTACCTTCCCTTATATAGCAAACGAAATGCCACAAACATTTGCAGATCTGGTCCCTGCCTGGTTCCGCTACACTGACGGATTCTCCCTCTCTCTGTCACTGTCCGCGTCCTCACGGCTGCCTTCTTTCCTCACCCGGCTCTGCGCCCGCGTCCTGAATAAACACATCAGTTCTCACAGTGACAGGGAATGCCCATCGTTCCCTCGCTCGTTCCCTCTTCTCATTCCAGAAAGGCACTTCTCGTGTGAATCTGCTCAGCTCACACAGGCATCCCTCATATTTTATTAATAAGCCTGACAGCTCATCACGTGAGGAAGAAATTTCTTAAGAAAACAACAATTTTGCATAATTCCACCGAGTTTCAGTGCGCCTTAGGCCACACATAGTTTCCATCTACTAGGATTAGAGTATTTTCACTTGACCAGCGGAAACGAGTGTTCTTCTGTCAGAACAGACCATGAGCATATTTCTCTAACACTTGGAAATCATCCCTGGCTTATTTCTGGTGAACGCAAGACACATTGAGGCAAAGACTGCTACGGTTTAAAAATGAAAGAACGCAGTTTGATGTAATTTTTCCCCTTATTTGATTCACGAGCCTGTCATGAGTAAAGTTCCAGCATCAGAGCTGTAGCTTTTCATGTCTTACTGGGCACATGAAAAGAGAACCACAGCCTAGCTGTTCACGGCAACGTATTTTTTTCCACGGCCACATATACATTTTGCTAGTAGGGTCCTTTCCGGGGTTGCCAAGTAGAAGATCATGAGATGGTTTTCATTACAGAATATTTCTGCAGACGTTATGCAGGGTGGAGCCTTTTGGGATGAGGCACTGAGGAATCTATATGACATCAGTACTTGCCTTTGAAATACAGGGAGTAATGGGAAAAGTAATAATGTTTGATTTACAAGTATGTCCTAAAATTGGTGATGCGGGGCAGGAGTTAATGAGCGCTCTCTCTGCTCCTCAGAATTCCCCCACTTCTTCATGTGGTCGGGAGGCTAATAGTGTCACAGCAGTTTAGGAGCAATTTGGGGGACAACTGAACTAATATATTCCACTATCCTGTTGCCTTGCCTAACGCTTTCTGGAATTAACTTTGCCTTACTCTATTTAATACAGTGTCCCATCGGAAGTGTCAGTAATGGGTGGATTCAGCTGCTTTTGTTCTCTTTTAGGCAAAAATATCTGATCACCTAAGTAACTCAGTTACTCCACATTTCTTTCAATGAACTAAAAATAGAAGACAAAAATTTCAGAAAAAATGATTCCACTTACTTTTGTTCCTGGTAACCCTGGTAAGCCTGGTTCTCCTTGAGGACCAATGAAACCTGGTTCTCCCTTTAAAAAGATGGGCATATGAGATGATTATTCATTTGATAGTCAATAGATAAAGCCAAACTCGTTTCCTTCTACTATGATTTTACTTCCTTGATTGTATACAGCCTTCTGGCTGAGATCCAGCTACGGACCATAAAATTAATCAGAATTGGTTTTGATCAGTGAAAACACTTTGAACGAAATGTTGGAGAAGCTTTAGAAAGTGAAAGTGACAAACTAATCGGATAAATGTCTTTACAAGCTCCTTTCTCACCACTTACCGCGTTAAGGTAGACCATGTTTGGGTGGATATGGCAGGTAGCCCCTGCAATGGGCCTCGGTGATCCCACCCCCTGGGGTTTAAGCCCTTGTGTAATCCCCTCCCCTTGAGTGCGGCCTGGCTCTGCTGACTCACATCTAACAGCAGGAGTGCTGGGATAGCCCTTCCGAGTCTAAGTCGTAAAAAGACTGTGGCTTCCATCTGGGGGGCCCTTTCTTGTTCCCTCCGACTTGGATCACGGGCTAGGGCAGAGGCCAGCTGCCATGCTGTGTGCAGCCCTATGGAGAATCCCACACTGTGAGGACCGAGTTCTGCCAACCTGCACATGCGTGAGCTCGGGAGCAGGTGTCCCGCCTCTGCAGAGTCCGCAGAGGAGACCAGTCCCAGACGACAGCCTCGCTGCGATCTCCTGAGAGACTGAGCCAGGGGCGCCTCACTGTGCTGTGCTTGAATCCCTGTCCCTCAGAAACTGGGAGATAATGTTTGTTATTTTAAGTCACTAAGTTTTGGGGTAATATGGTAGGCAGTAAGAGATAACTGATACAATGGATGTGACCAGGGAAGAGATTTAGGGAAGTTCAGCATGAAAGGAAAAATCTCTCTCCTTGCCACACCTCCAAAACCTTATCTGCACTGCCTGGTCATACACCCAGCTAGTATAATAAAAACCGTATTTGGTCTTGGTCCCCAATTCCTGGCACTGATCTCCTAAAAGCCTTGGAATTTTCTCGGTGGTAGGAATAAGGAACATCTTTTTTTTTTTTTTTTTTTTTGAGACAGAGTCTCGCTTTTGTTGCCCGGGCTAGAGTGAGTGCCGTGGCGTCAGCCTAGCTCACAGCAACCTCAAAGTCCTGGGCTCGAGCGATCCTCCTGCCTCAGCCTCCTGAGTAGCTGGGACTACAGGCATGCGCCACCATGCCCGGCTAATTTTTTCTATATATTTTTAGTTGTCCAATTAATTTCTTCTTTCTATTTTTAGTAGAGACGGGGTCTTGCTCTTGCTCAGGCTGGTCTCGAACTCCTGAGCTCAAACAATCCTCCTGCCTCAGCCTCCCAGAGTGCTAGGATTATAGGTGTGAGCCACCACGCCCGGCCAAGGAACATCTTTTGTTATTCATAACCAACCCCTTTCAACCATACCTGAGTTTATGTGAATGAGGGGACTTTTATCAGCCCCTAGATAGCTTCAGGATGGGAACTGGTTGCCAGAGGAACCAACTGTTGATAAGAAGGTTGGAACTTTCTGCCCCACCTCCCAGCCTCTGCGGAGGGAAGAGAGGCTGGAGATTGAGTTCAGTTGCCAATGGCCAATGATGCAATCAATCATGCCTGGGTAGCGGAACCTCCATAAAAACCCCCAAACGACAGGGATGGGAGGGCTTGTGAGTTGGAGAGCACATCCATATGCCAGGAGGGTGGGATGTCCAACTCCACAGGGACAGAGGCTCTTGTGCTTGGGACTGTCTCAGACTTCACCCTATGTAGTTTTTCATCTGGCTGTTCATCTTTATCCTTTATAATCAACTATGATAGTAAATAAAGCATTTTTTCTGAGTTCTGTGAGTTGTTCTACCAAATTGTCGAGCCTGATTTGTGAGAAGCCCCGAATTGGCAGCCAAATGAGACAGAAATGTGGGTAACCTTGGGACTCAGTCCATGTCACTGGCGACTGAACTGAGGTCAGTCTTGCGAGACTGAGCCCTTAGATCTGTGGCGTCTGGTACCAAGCAGGGTAGTTAGTGTCAGAATAGGACGGTGCCAGAGAACCAGAGAGTTAGAGAATTGCTGTTGGAAAAGACACCGCATATTTGGTGTGAGAAAATACCTGAGACCGGTGTTCACACAATATAAGGGTCTAACTACTTGAAATCTATGACAAAATTTTAAAGCCAAAATCATAATGGCTCTATTCCCATATATCCTGTTTTTTTCCCCCTCTTGGATTATTTCTGGAGCAGTTGTTAATGTTATTTGATATATTTGATTTCTTTTAAGGCAGCGGTATTTCAACCTTTGTTTCATGATACTTGGAGTAGAGAAGGAAGGAACAGAGAGAATGTTTTAGAAGATGAGCTAAAATGTCATAAAATATTTTACAAACATGTGAACTTTCAAAATATGCTACATAAAACCTTGGGTATTGGGTGGGGGACAAAAGGATATCACCACCACAAAACATACCATACTGATCTATAACTCAAACAGATTTATCTCTAGCTTTGGTGTTCATGTGACTGATTTAAGAAAAAAAAAAGTGGGGGTGGAGAATGAATGCTTTCGGTTTATTGCTTGTGAACTTTCTGTAACTCTCTATTCTATCCACCCCACACTCTTACACCTAATGGAAAGGAGAATCTGAAAATATAATTTTGGGTAGATCTCTTAATGGTCTAAAATGAAAATCTGAATCATATTTGGAGAAATCAATAACTGTTCTACTTCTAGTAAAAGAGTTTAACTTCTTATTTCATAAATAAAAAATTAGAAGGAATACATTTGTTAACATGCAAAATATTTTTCCCAATAAAATTATATATACAAATAAATAAATATTCCCTCCCCGCTTTCAAGAGAAATGCTGTGTTAAAGTCAATGTGTTTCATTGGTAACAGCTCAGTGTCATGGAAATGCAATGCAAGTTAATATATTGAAAGTTTACATATCTTCAAGTAGAAATAAAATGAGCTCATGTTTGTTTAGCAAATCAAATAGAAGCACCATTAAAACATACTAATAAAAGAGAAGAAAAAACAGTAAATGCTGCAAAAACACATTTCTTATTCAGGTTAGTGTTTAGTTTATAAAAAGATGAAACATGCGAGTGCATTATTCACAAACAAATGAGGCTTTGTGATCTCAGTTGCCAGACAAAAGTATTTTTTCTTCCTTTTTTAATAGAACGTATTATTAAATTCCCTTGAGTAAGTGTATAGAAATTTTTTTTAAACAGAATGTTCAGGGGAAAATTTTTTATTTTATTTATTAATTTTTTATTTATTTTATTTTACTTATTTATTAGCAATAATTGGACAGTCTTCACAATGTTAGCACTATTAATATTGGCTAATTTTAAAGGCTTTGAGTATGATTAGTTATACCTGATCATGTCACTCTAAGAAAACATCTACCATATCTCTACATTCTGACATACTTTTTATTTCAATTTCTTCAAGGAGAAAAATGGCATACTTAACTTTAGGATCGGATCACAGTTTTATGTTTATTTACTTCCAGAGCTCTCAATCACTTTAGAGACATTTCCATCCTTTTTGTATCTTGGCAGGATGGGGAAGAGATAATTATTGGTCTCTTTTCTCTCTCAGGCTTCAAAAACAATTGCTGAAGTCCACAAGGCGTGGATATATCTACTCGCAGTTGTGAGCTGGCTGGGCTGATTTTTACCTTGTTAAGCTTATACCAGAGGCTCTCAAAGTGTGCTCTGGGCCCCCTGGGGATCCCTGGACCTTTTCAGGGAGTCTTTAAGGTCAAACTATTTTCATAACACAAAGACATTATTTGCTTTTTTTACTTTCATTCCCTCTTGAGTGGACAGAGTATGAAAAATTCATTATATGGTTCCAGATTCCACACTGCACCTAACCTCTAGGAAACTAGCATGTGTGGAGTTTGGGGTAGGGTCAAAGAAGAATATCAACATTATCTGAATAGGCTATTAAAATAACCTTCCTCTGTCCAATTAAATATCTGTATGAGGCTGGTGTTTCTTCATATAGTTTAACCAAAACAATAGATTGCAACATATTAAATGTAGAAGCAGATAGGAAAATTCAGTTACTTTCTACTAAGCCAGACATTAAAGAGATTTGACAAAATCTCCCCCAAAAAGTATAACAACGTCACTTTTCTTGCTCAACTTTTTAAATCTTGTCTCTAACAAAAAACAATTACAGTTCATAAAACACACTATTTAACATGTAATTGATTTTTAAAAATTTCTCAGTTTTAATTTCTGATACAGAAATGTCAATAGATATAACCTACATAAATAAAAATTCTTTCAATCCTAATTTTTAAGAGTATAAAGGGATTATGAAACCAAAATGTTCAAGAACTGCTGGTACAAAAATGCAGAATTGTGTTAAAGGCTGACTTTGTAAGCTGGAGTCCTGAGTGCCAAATAATAGAAGATTCTGGCACTGTTGAGGGGTGGCTTAGATAAGACTTAACATTAGAAAATGCCAGCAAAGCACTTAGCACTCTCCCAATAAAGTGTGTGCAATATATGCTTGTTATTATTATTTCCCTTATCTTACAGGCTTGAAAATATTAGCTATCATTAATATTTTTATTATTAGTAGTAGTATTACAATCTCTGCAACCTAATTGGTAATACAAAAGGAGACTTCTTGTCAACTTTCAACCTGCCTGGGGCTACATTCAATACTTCTTCAACTTCTTTTAAGAAGTAACCCTAAATTTTCTCGTGTGAATATATCATTATTTTATGAGCAATATCTATTTTCCAGGGCAGTTAGGACTGCAACACCAAAAGAGGTTTAAAACATACAAACTGTGTAAGATAGAGATGTGACAGTTTTCCTAAGAATGAATTTTCCTCCTTTAAGGAAGGAAAAGGAGAAAGTGGTCAAACTTATTAAATTTCCCTAAATAAATTAACCCTTTAAAAAAGGCCTACTTCTTTGAGAAGGGCTGATACACAGTTTAAAGGTTCTAGAATCTCCTAAAATGTCTAGGAAAAAGGCAATAATGACAACCTAAA